TTTATAAATCCAGTGACAGGTGTCTACAGGTATGCACAGACAGGTAGACATTTCCCCGTCGCATCGGGTTGATGCTGATATTTCATCAGGTATTCGGCCTCCGGTGTGAGCTTTACGTCTCAATCTGCTCCAACAATGAAATCAAATAAAGTGCAACAGCTGAGCGAGCTTTCACCAGGTGTGCCGCACCTCTGTGTTGTGGAAATGACAGTCTTCACTAGTGGGGATAGTTACAAAGCTTTCTTCATTATGAATTAGCATACATGTTTTTATTGAACATTTGAAGAACCAGCAAAAAAAACCCAGAAACTCTTGTAGAGGACATAAAGTCCGAGATAGAAACGACACGGAGCAGGTGCATCTAGTGCAGGTAAAACCCCACAGAGCTCAGCAGCCAGCGCAGCAAATTCTGGATCCTTGTCTTTTAGTGACTCACACTGAGGCTACGTCCACACGTACCCGGGTATTTTTGAAAACGCAGATTTTTCTATGCGTTTGCACCTCCCGTCCACACGTAAACGGCGTTTTCGGTCACTGAAAACGGAGATTTCTAAAAACTCCGGCCAGGGTGGATATTTAGAAACTCAGTTTTTGTATTTACGTGTGGACGAGAAAACACAGCGTCAAAGATGTACGCCTTTTTTGAGGTCACACTGTGCGCCATGTTATTGTTTAGGTGAAATGAATTTCTACAATACTGTTACTATTAATTCTACTCTCTGCAGTGTTTAAATGCTTACATATACACACAGTTACTGTCCCTCCACACATACGACTCGGTTCTGCTTCTATGCCCCAGCTTTGTTTACTTTTTCCCACCGAGGCTTCTAGACTTCTGATTGGCCAACATTTCTGCACGGTTAGGAATCTAGCGCCACGTGCTGCTTTGGCATGTTCCTAGCAGCGTTTTCCTTCTTTTCTGCGTTTACGTGTGGACGGGATTATTTTTTAAAACGAAAACGGAAAATCTCAGCTTTCAAAAACACCCGTGTACGTGTGGACGTAGCCTGTGACCAGAGGTGGGACCAAGTCATTGTTTTGCAAGTCTCAAGTAAGTCTCAAGTCTTTATCCTCAAGTCTCAAGTCAAGTCTCAAGTAATGTCAGGCAAGTCAGAGTCGAGTCTCAAGTCACTGGTGTAAAAGTCCGAGTCAAGTCACAAGTCTGAAACTTTGAATTTCAAGTCCTTTCGAGTCTTTAAAAAAAATAAAAAATGAAAAAAGCATGTTGCAGTTATGCTAAATGTAAATATTAGACCATGTAATTTTAAAATCTGTGTTTTTCTCAACACATGACAAAATAGTGAACTTAGAAAATATACACAAATTGTGAAATTGCACCTCTTTAAAATGCAGCTCAATTAAACCTAGCTCCAAGAATAGTTTTCACCGACAGTTCTGAGATAAGCTGCATGTTATTTTTGGATGCGGTTGTAGGACCAGCTTTAAAATCGCATGACAAAAATATCATACATATTAAAAAAAACTGCATCACCAACGTAGCCTGGACAACATTTGCTAGTTAGATGAAGTCAGCTATCTCATCGTAGCATATTTATATGCATATTTATAATCATACGGTTCTTGGAGTGAGTGCATACACTCATGAAGTTTAGTAACTTCAGGTCACTGCAACAAGCCCAGGTACAGTTTACCGACGGATGGGTGCAGGACCTTGAAATGCACCGTGTAGAAAGTAAAGACCATCGTACGTATCATAAGTTTACCAGTCTCACAAATTGTTGTCATAAATACACATTCCTTAACCGTTTATTAATAGGACCTTTGAGCTCAACGGTAATTAATTAGTAGTGGAAATAATTTCTGGTACCTGAAGGAAACGGTTTCCAGGGCCTAATCCGTGGATCGACTTCCTTCGAGGCGTGGACGTCTATCAGCAGAGAATGTCCCTTAGTCTGTAACACAGTCAAATATATTCTCAAGTAATATTCAAGCATGCCATTCAGCGTGTTAGTACGAGCTCAGGAGCAGCTTGGGAGAACAAGAAAACAGAGACTGCTTTAGATTGTCTTCCCAAAGTGACTCAACTTTATTCACAAGTACAACAGTTTATATAGAGGGACAAATTCATGAGACAGCAGATTTATCAGTTTAAACCAGTACAGACCAAGATAAGGCAGCGTCTTCCTGCCCTTGGGTGAAGAAGCATCCTTTGTATAGTTTATCAGTTCAGCTACAATTGTGATTATCTCAGCGACATATTTTCAAGGCACAAAACGAAGAGTTCTTTCATTAGTGAAATCTGAAACAAACCATCTGGCCTTCAACAGGCGTCTCCTAAAAGATTAAGAAACTAATGTAGCTGAGGGAGTGATCTCTGTGGTATTTCAACCTTGTACCAGCCTGTGATTCTCACACATCAATTCTTGGGTCAAAGAGAAAAATAACTAAAACAAAGGGGCCTTATTGAATGACAGAGTTTTCCTGTATAATGTCACTATAAAACAATATCCAGTAAATGCTCCCATGGTACTAAAATACCTAACAGTACCCATCACAGAAATGTAGCAGTGACAATAATACTGTATGCTGTAATCGTACTGGACAATTAGTGATACAAAAAACCTGTTTTATCCTGTGAATAAAAGTATATGTTTTTGTCAATGTACCATAATAACAGAAGCGAAACGCAATATTGTGTCAGGACAATTCACTATTTATGCACAATAAATAAAGGAGCATAGCGCGACAATTTCTGTTCAGCGCCAGACTTGCTTGTAACCTATATCACTAATTATGTTATGAAAATGACGCATTAACTACAACAGCAGACTGACCTTTGTGTAAATGCTTGGAGCAGACTAACCTGTGAGCTGGAGAGTTCTGGGACGTTATATTTGATCTTTGAATGGCTGCAATCCAGGCCACCCGTCGCGTCTTTGTTACTTCGGAAACATGGCTCCAACAATTTCTCTTCAACGACGTAATCCGATAACAACCGATCTCTTTACCCGTCGGCTTCCCGTGGCTGTCATGCGACCGGCTATTGCAGTTAATAATACAACAGCTTCTTGACATTTTTGTGTTTCTTTTTATCGCTGTGTGACTGATTTCAATTGAAAGCCTGCGTGCGTTAGTACCGCTTGCCACGAGTTCCCAGAATCCTTTGCGGTTCTACCCGTGAATGACGTCACATTTTCAATCTCTATATAATATGCATGTTAAATTTTATATTTGGGGTAAAATATCAAGTCTTTTCAAGTAAACCGGTTCAAGTCCAATTCAAGTCCCAGGTCATTGGTGTAAAAGTCCAAGTCAAGTCACAAGTCTTAGAACATTTTTTCAAGTCAAGTCTAAAGTCATAAAATTAATGACTCGAGTCTGACTCGAGTCCAAGTCATGTGACTCGAGTCCACACCTCTGCCTGTGACTCACAGCAATGGTCCCGGATAGATTTGAAAACGGTGTTTTCGTCTGCAAACGCTCCGCGTCCACACTACCATTTTCAGTCGTTGTCACAGAGTTGTGCGTCCACATTGAAACGTGGCGGCAAAATGTGGAGGAAAAGCAGCGAGTTTTTAAACAGACTAACAATGAGGTGCAGTTGTTGCTGCGACAACACAAAAGTATAAAGTTGCAAAAGCGAGTGAGAATGAAAGAATTTGAAGAAAAGCTGGAGCACCTACAGACTGACATTAATCTTTAACAGGGCTGTCAAACAAAACAACTGCTGTATAATGAACTCCGCTATCTTTGTTTAATTGGTCACATGACTAAAATGCCCAGTTTGATAATAAAATGAATGAACGGTGCAGCCAGTGATTCCTCTCACCTGGTAGAAAGGCGGAGCCACGGCCCGGGCCGCGGTGGAGGAGAACAGCTCCTCGAAGCAGCCGGTGACCTGGAAAAAGTGCAGCATGGAAACAAATGAGGCCTCGGTGCGGCGGAGCAGAACATTGTTTGTCTTTCCTGCGTTTCATAGAGACGCGCAGAGATGAGCAACGCTCACACAAACCTTTCACTGCCGGCCAGAAAAGCCCGCGTCAGGGTTTCTGCCGCCGTCACAGCAGATTTCTCCACGCAGCGGGACCGCTTCACCCTCAGCCTAACCACAGACTGTAAATAAAAGATGAAGGCTATCGCCGTGACAGCCAGCACTCTTAATCTGATCTGAAAACACCGAGGACGGATGGCTCCATCCAGCAGGCCTCCTCATCACAAACCGAGTCTGTGCCCGCTCTGGCCTTAGTCCAGCTCATCACACGTACGTCATGTGACACACTTTTGCCTTCACACTCACACAGCCCAGGTAAGGGATGAAAGCTGCTCATTTACCTGAGCACCAACACTGCTCCACAGACTCACTTTACCTGTCGGTAGGAGGTTCAGAGACCTCACCTTGTCAGGTAAATCTGAGGCGTGACCAGCTGTTCATGCTAGTTGACACGGGGTATTCATGGGGGTGAGCGAGGCCCCTCTAAAACGCCCGAAAATACGTGTTTGGAATCTGTACTTCGATGGGTGAAAGTTTAAGACAAACACATTAAATATTTCTAAATCAGTTAATCACAAAAACAACCTGGGCCTGTCTGCGTGCGATCCTGAGCCTCCATCCTCTCACGCACGCTGAAGCTTCCATCGTTTAACGAAAACGTAGCTGATGATGTCATAAAGTCTTCATCATTTATGTGACTGAAGCTGTGTGACAAAGATGAGCTGAGCCCACAGCACCGCTTCATGAACGATCAGTCAGCTGATCTCCACACTCGCACCTGATCAGCAATAATCCAGCTACAGTAATCTGAGTATTTGTTAATATGACAGATTAGAGGCTGCTGCTGATGTCACAGTAATAACGTGCAGTGCTGCGGGCTTTCAGGTGACGTGTTATCGATCCTGAAGCAGTTTCTATGAAATCAGGGTTTGAGTTTATCGCCCTGAGGAGGAGCAGGAGGAGGTGTTTGTCCGTCCTGTACTGAGGCCAATGAAGCATCGCCTCCTCACCCTGATGTCACCTGGAGGCTGAACAAACACACAGAGCGTCGGGATGCACTCGACTTTATTTCGTTTGCAGTGACAAAGTGAGAAAAGTTAAGAAAAGCCTGTGGCAGCGCCACCTTCAGGCTGAATACAAACACATTACAAATGTTAAAAACAAACAGAGCTTATCGGCTGCTTTTATTTTTTATTTTTGGTCATTAATTTAAAAAGTGAGGTTACAGGAACAGAACACGCAGCCACACTACGACACGTACAAAAGGAAAAAAAGAAACTAAGGCTGTAAACGGGACTTCCTCCCGTCACCTAGCGTTGGCTGATGGTTCGATTCCCCCCAATCAGGTGTGGTGGCAAGACCGAGAGAGACCGTGGGATCACGAGGAGACGGGGCTTCCCGCGTCGCTGCTCTCGCTCGCCTGCCGCTGCATCACCATCTCCCGGGCGACACAGGTGATCTGACCGTTAGTCACCACACCAGATATCCCCGCCCTGCCAGGAAGAGAGCGGCGTTAACCAAGTCAGACCATCGCTGCTAATAAAGTTTATTTATGTGCGTGTGTGTCCATACTTGTGCTGCGCCTCCTCAGTCAGTGGGGTCATCCCCGGCTGCTTCCCGAAGAAGAAAGTGGACCACCAGTGGCCGGAGTCCTGCTTGGGCAGTCCTGTGGACAGAGTCCAACATTCAGACACGACAGCAGCGTTTAACCGTGAAAGGACTGCTGCGCTTCCCGCCGTCACAGCGGCGACGTTAACCTCGGTCACAAGAAAAAGTCAAACTTTCTGAACACAAACGTGAAAACTAATGAAATCAAACAGACTTTTCCAGCCATCTACAGGCGGAAGCAGTTCACACGTCAGCCTGACCAGCTGATGGATCACATGATCACTGACTGATGCCGCTCACACAAGTTTAAACGAGTTTCAAACTGGTCAGTTATTTTATAACAAAGACGTTTCTATGGCAACAGGAAAAGAAAGCAGGAAATGACTGCATCAGACCTTCATAAAGTCTCGGTGAGTCCGAGCACCGCCCTGGTTTCTGACACACACACACACACACACACACACACACACACACACACACACACACACACACCTCTGTTCTTGAAAGTAGGTGAAAGGGGAAACTGGGTGTGTTCAGTTCACTGAGCGTGTGTGCGTCTGTGCGAGCTCCCTGGCGACATGCGTGTGCTGTGGTGATGAAGAGCAGCACTCTCACATGAGCTGTAATTCAACAAACCGGATCAGACCGGTCTCTGAGCCCCACAGTCTCCCAAACTGAGGCTGAGGGAGGAAGAACTGAGCATGCTCAGAGACAAACATCTGCATCAGCTCACGTGGGCGTCGCTTCAGGACACAAAGTTCCTGCCAGAAGAGCCGCCGCTTAACTCACTCAGTGTGCGAGCGAGTGGGTGGAGCATCTCAGAAAGCCCCGACTGCTGCATTTTAAACCGCATGATGTCGGCACAAGAAACGCGACAGAATGCTCCCACGCCACCAGACTCCCGGCCCCGCCCTGTCCCACTGTGCACTGACCCGGATGGTGAGGGATGACCTCGCCGCTGTACTCCGAACTGCCACACGAGCTGCTGCTGGACGTAGAGCCGATGCGCCCTGCCGGACACAAACCTCGGGTTAGTCTCCACCTCACACCTCGCTGACTGTAACCTGCCAACTCTTCTTCGTGCGATACTCACTTCGGTAGTAATCAGTGGTCGCCACGAGAGACCCTCCTGCTGGGATAGCTGCCATTGTTGGGCCGTTGGTCGCTGTACACTGTGCTGATGGAACCCTGCAGGGGACAAAACAAACAGGAAGTAATCACACCAATGACCTGCAGTCACCATTTCAGTCATTAAAGCAGTGACAGAGTCACGTGACCATGTCCTGACAGTTTGTTTACATGTGCTCCTCTGTTTTCTTTCTCCAACCAATCAGATCGTCCTGTGGGCAGGACTTCACGCATCCATTAAAAATACACACCAGTGATGGAGAGGCACTGATGATAATGAACACACTGCTCGCTGTGCTCACTGTTGACATTAAACAGAAAGCCAATAACAGATTACGGTTACTACTGTAATTCAGAGGATTACACGAGAAAATAAAGATTACTGTGTAATCTGTGTGCAGAATCTGACCAATCGCTGCCTCTATGGAAACAAAAAGGTATATAAACACAAACGCCATCAATCATCCCTGCATCAGTGTCTGTGAAGCATCACTTCCTGTGTCCATAGATATTATTACTCCAATAATCACCATCACAGAGGCTGCTCTGCTGTGTGAGTGACACCCGAACCTGTCCCACCGTAAACAAGGCCAGCTAGGAACCAAACATCCCCTCCCACAAAGGGCTTAAACATGATTCCTGCCTGTGCTTACACGGGACACGTGAGCGTGCAGCTCATTGATCATCTGTTCATCAATAAAGCCTGACGTCAAAGAGCAGCTGCAGAGACATCAGGCCGACATCAAGAGTGCATCACAGGATCTTGTTTTTATTCTACACAGGTGTAAACCTGCCACAGCAGCCTAACAGTGTGAGGCGAAACCCGCCTGCAGACAATATAACAGTACATGAAAGCATCACGGTCACTCTGCAGCCTCGCGTGCTGCACGTACACACGTCCACGGCAATGACGTCATCCCAGCCGGGCTTGTTTACAACTAACGGTCACTGCAGCAGACCGACATCTTGACGTGAATCCGCCCCATCGGGGTCACCCTGCAAACGGCCCGGTGGGAGAAAAGACCCCGGGGGAAGGAGGGGGGGCACACGGAGGATGTCCCGGAGGACATTTTGTTTCCGATTAATCCGCCTTTAACGGCCCGACAGCCCCCCGCTGCTCCCACGGCAACACCGAGAGAGACGTAACGGTTAGCATAACGGGGACAGAAAGGCTTCGGGACGAGATGGGAACGTGAAACCATCGAAAATGCCCACTTTGTGCCGGAAACGGCCGTCACAGGCACCGCTAACCACCATTTTCTAACCGCTCGTTGCGGTCGGTAGCCTCACCTTGTGCGGACCCAGACGTGCTTGATGTTCGGGAGCACTCCCTTCGATCAGTCGGCGAGGCTGGGGGAGTGAACGCTAGGCAACGGGGCCCATTTGAAAAGAAGTTTTGGGTAAATGTGACCCTCCAAGGCCCGAGCGAGTTCCGACGATGCTGCGGTATGCGGAGGAACGGGCAGCTCCCGCCTTTATACTGGACATGACGTACCCCAGTGGGAGGCGGGACGAACAAAGGCTCCGCCCTCACCGCTTCCCCCTTTCCCTAAAAAAACACCCCGTTGAAGTCGCGTCAGCGCTGAATCAGCGGGTTTCCATGGAAACATCACTGAAACAAAATTTCAACATTTGCATCACAAAATACCGGCACACCGAGACCGGCGCGTGTATCTCCCTGTAAGCCTCAGTACAAGCTCACTTTACATGCGTTCATTTCATTTCCGTTGAGGCTGTAACCGTTAACACGACGCTCGTTTTCCTGCACTTCTCTTTGTTCTCTGCGCTACCAGCAGCCTCCAGCGCCCTCTGCCGGTAATAATAATAATAATCATACATTTTATTGTATTATTGAGGCGCCTTTCAGACCCTCAAGGTCACCTTACAGTAGCACGTAAACAATACCATAAAAAACATTTTTTTTAAAGAAATCCCAGTAAAAACTACAAATAAAAACACAGTAAACTACATTATGACTAAAACCTGTTTAATGGGGGTGACTCGGTAACTGACTCAGTAAACTGGAGAAAAAAGGTGGTCATGACGCTGATGCAGTTTAGAGTTTTTTTGCTCAGTTTTTATATTTGCTTTTATACTTTTATGACTGTTTATGTCTAAATTTTATCTACCATGTTTGCTATATATACATATTTTACTGTAGTACTTGAGGTCAGTTCTGCTGATTTTAAATGTAGGTGTCTCTCATCTGAGAGCCTCGACAGTGCCACAGCTTTATCTCACCTGTCTGTGGTCAGGTTCGTAGGAGAACAGGAACGAGTGATTGTGCAAAACGTTCGTTGTCGGCAGGATTCGAACCTGCGCGGGGAGACCCCAATGGATTTCTAGTCCATCGCCTTAACCACTCGGCCACGACAACCTACCTACCTACCTCCTGCCGCCGCCTACACCTGTCACTCTACAGGTGTGGTTCTCATATGACCCGTACTGATACAGAACGGGGAAGAGTGACCACTTTAATACTACGAACATGATTGTTTCACGTTACTATTTAAGCCTGATTGTGACCATTCACGGTAACTCTCCCTGGTGGTCTAGTGGTTAGGATTCGGCGCTCTCACCGCCGCGGCCCGGGTTCGATTCCCGGTCAGGGAACACCCTTTTTCTGAAAACCGAAGCGTGCATTCACACGTAGCGTTTTGTGGGAGAAACGTTTCGTCACTCATCCAAGTGACTTCTTCAGTCTCAGCTGACTGCAGGTTTCCCCAAATCTTATCAGAATCAGAATCAGAATGAGTTTATTGCCAGATGTTGAGGTTTACAACATTAGGAAATTGCTGCGGTGCTTCAGTGCAAACAATAAGAATTAAAGTGCTATGTAGAAAGAAAGATATGTGCATGAGATATACATGAGATATATACATGAGAATAAGAATTAAGAGTGCTACGTAGAAAGATATATACATGATATATACATGAGTGCAGGTGGTGATCAGTGCCAAACATGAAATGATGCAGTGACACAGCGTAGGGTCATGTGTTAGTGGCGGGGACAATCATGTGGTTATTGTTCATGTGTCCAACAGCAGAGGGGAAGAAACTGTTCTTATGGCGAGAGGTTCTGGTGCGAATGGACCGGAGCCTCCTGCCTGAGGGGAGCAGGTCAAACAGACTGTGTCCAGGGTGAGAAGGGTCAGCTGAGATCCGAGCTGCACGCCGCAGTGTCCTGGAGGTGTACAGGTCCTGCAGAGATGGGAGTCTGCAGCCAATCACCTTCTCAGCAGAGCGCACAACACGCTGCAGTCTCTGTTTGTCCCTGATAGTGGCTCCAGCGTACCACACGGTGATGGAGGAGGTGAGGATGGACTCGATGATTGCAGTGTAGAATTGCATCATCGTCCGTGTTGGCAGGTTGAATTTCTTCAGCTGCCTCAGGAAGTACATCCTCTGCTGGGCTTTCTTGATGACGGAGGTGATGGTGGGCTCTCACTTCAGGTCCTGGGTGATGGTGGTACCCAGGAAGCGGAATGAGTCCACAGAGGTGATGGGGGGGAGTGGGGCTGTGTGCTTCCTGAAGTCCACAATAATCTCCACTGTCTTCTGGGCATTCAGCACCAGGTTGTTGTGGCTGCACCAGGACACCAGACGTTCAACCTCCCTCCTGTAGGCAGACTCGTCCCCGTCCGAGATGAGCCCAATAACGGTGGTGTCATCTACAAACTTGATTAGCTTGACAGACTGGTGGGTGGAGGTGCAGCAGTTGGTGTACAGGGAGAAGAGCAGAGGAGAAAGAACACAGCCCTGAGGGGAGCCGGTGCTGATGGTCCGGGAGTCCGAGACATTCTTTCCCAGCCTCACGTGCTGCTTCCTGTCCGTCAGGAAGTCAGTGATCCACCGGCAGATGGGATCAGGCACATTCATCAGGGAAAGCTTGTCTCGGAGATGGTCTGGAAGGATGGTGTTGAAGGCAGAGCTGAAGTCCACAAACAGGATCCTGGCGTAGGTTCCTTATAAACAGTACATTTGCATAATGACTGAAACCAGCCCACTGAAGGGACAATGGGCCGGGAGGTCAGTTCCTTAATCATAATTATGCTAATTCTCATGACCACTGATCAAAGATTCACTTTCCTGGATGATTGAGAATGCATCAAGACGAAAATCTGTAAACATATTTAACCTTCAGTGACCTCAGCCTCTGTCACCTATGCTGTTTGCATACAGAATAGAATATGCATGCAGCTTATTTTTTTAAAAGCTGACGTTTTCTCATATTGAAACCCAAAAACCGTCAGATTGACTTCCTGTTCAGCCCCAGGTGTCATAGTTGACTCTAAACTCAGGAAATTTAGCAACCCAGGAGATGGTCATGGCTTTATTTCTCTAACTTTGCAGCCTTCATCTGAATTTAAATCAGTTAAATTCAGCAATACTTTTCCATGAATTCAGAAAAAGGAGAGCCTCAAATCCAGAATCAAACTTTAATTAATGTTTATTCAATTTACAGATTATAAAGATGTGTCAGTAAATTTATGCACAGCAGTGAAGTGAAGAGATCACAGGGCACATTTCATTTAAAGGAATGCTTTATTGATATCCAAACATTTACAATAAACCAAAATGTTTTTAATTAATTCACCATAAGCTTCCAAATCTGATCCCTTTAACGATCTACATGAGAGAGGCCCCGGACCCGAATAAAGCTGAAAGTTCTCAGTGAGCATGCTCGTGGTGTGCTGCACGTCCCAAAACTAAGAAGTCACTCACTCCATCCATCATCTACTCTCCAAAACAAACTGCTCATGTGCAGCTTTCAAGGAGGAAAATCCATTTAGTTTCAAAATCGCATTTTTCTCACACTGACGAGCTCCTTTCCCCTGTGCATAAGAAAAATGTGATTCTTTTATTAAGTAAATGACTTCAGGAGTATTTCTTGTAGTGTGCAGAAGTTTGTTTAATCTTGGCAAAGCGCAGAGACACTCGAGGAGATCCAGAGACACAAAGAAAGAGTCTGTAACAGATATTTCAGGATTGGCAACTGATGACATTTTACAAAGAAGAAACTACCTCAGAAAAGCAAAGGAAAGAAAATCAGGAAGCAGCTAACAAATCATCTTCATCGTCTACCATAATGATCAACACAAAGAATAAGGACGCACGCAGGAGGCAGGACAGCCGCGGGCAGCAGAAACACCTACAGCGGAGACCCGCAAGACTGATGACAGGTCTCCCTCTCAGGTGTACTCACACGTGGCGGCACGCCTCAATGACCACTTCCTGTCACAGAGCAGTCGGACGCCACAGGAGCAGGATGTCTTATTAACGAGCTCGTCAGCACTTCCTGTAGCGGGCAGGAGTGATGTTGGCAAAGCACACAAAGATTGGCACGGTACTTCATGGCGTTTTACAAATAATGAAAAAAACCTGAAAAGTCAGTTGTTCTGTTGTTTGGCGTGAGCGCAGTTCATCTGCAGGCGTGGTCGCTTCCGTACAGGAAGTTACTCTGCAGGCCCGAACGAAGACAAGCGGCACACCAGACGCGCCCCGTGTGAGTACACCACAAACACCCGGGCGTCCCGTCCTTCACCAAACCCAGAGTAGAAGAAGAAGAAAAACCAAAGGGCGAGGGGTGGGCGTGTCCCGCGGCTGGATCAGAGAGCGGGCGAAGCTTTTAACGCGAGTAAGGCCGACTGAGAAGCGGTGACATTCAGCAGGTAGCGTTCGCGGCGAAGCGTCGTTGAAGCGTCGGCTGCGCTCCGACGGCGACGCCAGTTTCACTAACAGGAAGCTGCGTTTTCAGCGACACGCCTGTGAACCGGAGACAGTTTGGTTACCTGTGTTGGTACGCGCCGATAGAAGTTACGTAAAAACGTCTGCAAAGCTGTAAAAGAGTTCAGAGAATACAAAATGGCTGAAGGGCTTTTTTACACAGCGGGGGTTTCAGGTGGGATGTGCGTGTACGTGGAGAAGGTCGAGGAGGGCGGGGGTTCCCGGGTCCTGACCCCGCCCATCCTCGCAGGTATATAGCGCTAACCTGTACACCTGCCTGCGTTTACACAGAGCGCGGCGGGGGGCGCTGTGCAGCGTGTGCTCACAGTGTGAATGCAGAGAAAGAAGAGAGCACGCTCACCCACAGAGGCCCATATAGTCCTCCTCCACCTGCAGAAGCCCCGCCTCCAAAGCTACACCTGCAGGAGGTTTGCGTGTTTGTTTTTTGGATGCGTATGAACACTTGGGGGGGGGGTCAAGTTTCAGAAGGTGACATCTTTTAGCGCCTGGTGTTTAGCCGGGTGGCCTCTGAAACATTGATGGGTTTGAAACAGAGGCGGGGCTCGGGGGCGGGGCTCGGGGGGGCTCGGGGCGGGGCTCGGGGGCGGGGCTCGGGGCGGGGCTGTGCACTCTGCCACCAGCTACAGAGCGAGCTGATGAGGTGGAGGTGGAGGTGTGGCTCTGCGACGAGGTGGTAACAGTACAGTCTAAGGTCGTGAAGAAGGTGGCGGCGAGGAGGTGGTGGAGGAGGGAGCGAGTGTTCAGAAAGATGGGTTCTCCTGAGTGGGGGTGGTGTCGGTGGGGGAGCTGACGGCGTCTCCATTTCCTCTCTGACCGACGACCTTATACTGAAGAGAGAGAGGAAGAGGAAACAGCTGAGGGTCAGTGATGCGGTTAGCGCGTCCCTTCATCAGCTTCCTGTTTACTCTGTTTAAAGCCTCGTCTTCATTTTAAAACCTTCCTTCAGACACAAACCTGAAACTAAAGAAAAGCTGACTTCCTGTCCCACACTCACGGAGCACCGTGAGCAAAAACATGCAAAGAAGAAGAAACTAATCGACACTGGACACAGAACATGCTGCCACCTTGTGGTGAAACTCTGCATTAACCTTTGCTCGTTCTGCAGATATCTGAACTCAATGTTCAACTTTGATCCTTTTCCAAACACTAAACTTTGCTGCAGACCTCTGCTCACCTTCAGGTTCCCCATTTTATCCTCAAAGGACTTGAAGGTTGGAGAGTTTCTGCGGAGCAGAGACACGAGGTTAGAGTCAGAATAACACCGCCACATCAAATCTAACAAACATCACATTTCTTTAATAACAACGCCAAATCCAAACGTCAGGATGCCGTGTGAATAAAAACTGAATGTGATGATCTGTAAGTCTCATAAATCCAGATTTGATTCACAGAAAACATTTAAAGGAGAAAATGAACCATTTCAATAAAGTTTGACTTTGATGGCGGCAGCACGTGCGTCAAAGTTGGGACGGGTCGACAAAACGCTGAAAACTGAGAAGAGAAACAGCCGGAGGAAGATTTATCAGCTGATCAGGTGTCCTGTGTGTTGTGTCTTTCTGGCTGCTGTTACAACCAAATTTCCCCTTGTGGGACAATTAAAGGATTATTCTATTCTATTCGATTCTATTCTGTCAGCAGCTGGGTCACATGATCGGGCAGAGCTTCACCAACCTACAGCAATCCTCACTGTGAACATGACATCATCAGCATACTCAGAGGAATCTCTGTGCGCGGGGACGATAACCTTCAAACGCCGCTCTGTGATCAATCAGTGCACGGGCTCAGGAACGCTTCCAGAAACCGCCGTATGCGAGCAGCTCGGCGTGCAGTCCACACGTGCAGGTTACAGCTCCATCACATGGAGGAGAACCACGCGTGACCACGATGGAGAAATGGCGCCATCTGCTCTGGACTCCTTTAAGACTGATCTGAGGTCAGACCCGTCATGTTTTATGTTTTATTGTGAATAAAATGTGAGTTTCTGAGATCTGCAGACTCACAGCAGCCCGACGTTTTGGGCCATAGACCTGATAAAATATTCAATCATGAAATAAAAGCAGCTTTAATAAAAACAAACAATGTACACATGTTTGTATCGTTTGTGTTTCACTGCAGACGAGCTGCGACTGGAAAGAACAAACAAAGAAAAACAGCCACCGCAGCAAAGTTTCATTATGTCACCGCAGCGTCAAACTTCAACACAATAACAACTAAAATCAAAAACTTTCATGTTGCCACGGAAACATCAGATCAGCTGACGGCAGAGTCGAATAAATGTATTCGAATAAAAGTAGCCAATAAAAACTCCACCTCATTTCCCCACATCAAACGCCCCCAGGTTTGAACGCCTTCAGTGAGCTGATGTTAGCGAGCACAGACAGGTACAGGTGTGTGTGTTACGTTACCTCATGGCGGGCATACTTATCGAGTGGCGAATGGAATAGTTGCTACTTTGAATGCGTTAAAGAGAAGAGACAGAAAAGCAAGTGTTACAATGCAGGAAGCAGTGACACACACGCACGCACACACACAGCTGTTAAATCAGCTGTCACAGCCTGCAGAGCAGTCTGATGCTGAAAGAACTGAGTTTTTCAAACATCCTCTGCACAGCTGGAACGCCCAGCATCGTTTCTTTAACTCATATCATCGAAACGTCTTCCTGTCAGGCTGGCCAATCAGAGCACAGCACTTTAAACTGGCGCTGATACATGAACATACAGAACCATCAAACTGAAATGAAGCTGTCTCCACAGCAACCTGAGCCTAGCATCACTACAAACGTTGAATTCAACTTTATTGACACAACACAAAGTCACAACAGCAGTCCCCTTGAGGCACTTTAAAGGGTCACCTGACTTCTTAGTGGACCAGTGTTGCGTTTACATAATTACAGGTCATGTGACTGACCGTGTGAGGATGACAACATGTGGAGGCTTACCTAAAGGAGTTAGAGAACGGCAGAGCTCTGCGGGTCAGACCAAGGCAGCGGTAAGGAGAGAGAGAGAGAGCGTGAGGCCACACACACACACACACACACACACACACACACACACACACACACACACACACACACACAGTGAGCTACAGGGATTAAACTGCAGAGTGGAGGGGGCCGCGTCCCACTGCTGCTTTACTCACACTCAGCACTGAAGCTGGGTAACGACCCAATCACAGCAGTGAAGCTGCAGGTGGGCAGGACGCGACCGGAGATGAAGTCAGAGCTGCAGGAAGAAACGCGTGGCCGGGTTTAACCTGGTGACGGTCTGAGGCGGGCCTCGTCCTCGCCAACGCGGGGGCTCAGAGAGCGCGTTGGCGAGGACGGGACAGGGTTGATGCTGTGAGCCACGTTAACGGGCCGTCGCCCGAGCAGTGCTCGCACTCTGTCACTCGGGGAGCTAAACCCACAGCAGGAGAGGCGTGCAGACCCAACACACCACCTGATTTAAACGATCCACAGACTCGTCACCAGGTTGCCTAGCAGGGGACAGTGTAAGGATGGGTCCACACGTCCCCGCTGACATTTGTTCCTGCAGCTGAGCCGGCGCGGTGGCCATGTTGGCTCTGTCGCACTGTACCTCATGTCGCCGATCTTCTTGCTGAGGGCCGTGCTCATTGTACTCAGAGCCGCGGTCGTCTTCTGTCCGGCCTGGGAAAGCGTCTCCTGAGTCTTCTTGTACCTGCAGAGAGGAGGAGCACAGAAACAGAGGCGTTAGTGTTGAGCTGCAGCGCCACAGACACACAAACGCACCAGTGTTAGTGTTCACACAGACCAGCCGCGACACACAGCAAGTTAAACACAGCAGAGCGTCCTCCCTCTGGAACAAACTGGAAACAGGAACAAGAACCCAGGAGTGTTAGCAGGCACCAGTCAGCCGGCAGGAAGAGCTTATTTCAGTCTCGCCTCACAGCACGAGGAAAACATGACAGGGAGACCGATGGCTGGTCACGACCAGCGGCGAGCCGAGCGCGTTACAGCGAACAGAGCCACACTACTGGTTTGATGATGTGAGAGACCTGAGATGCAACAGCGTCCAGCAGAGGCAGCAGTGAGTCCGTGCCTCAGACTCATGTTACAGCCTGACGGTCCGTGGATCCTCCTCCGTAACACAGCTTTAAAGGGCATCGTGCTCGTGCTGCCGGAGCCCTTTTAATGAGGTCATGTGACCAATAAGATGGCTGCTGTGAGGTCACTGTAACAGAGCGCTGAGGAAGGCGGAGCTCCGCTTTAAGGATTTTATGTTGATGTTACTGATCAGCAGGTGTGATGCTCCCGTACGTCGCTGTCCGCCCTTTCATCCAAACACGAAACAACAAGGGCCAACTTTGATCCTGCAGACCGCAGAGCGAGCTCGCAGCGGCTGTGTCCATCTGCGGTCCCGAGACAAGAACCTCAGGTTTATCGGGTCCAGACTGAGGACGCTTCCAGACAGAAAACGTCCAGCAGCTAACAAAGCAGCACACCACCTGTGGAGGCTCTTCGGCCAAACGCATGCAGGAGCTCAGAAACGCAGGGGCTGAAGTTCAAATGGATCAGAGACCGGATCTATAACTCGCCTAACAGCAGTTTACCGACGGCTTCGCCTGACCAGCTGTGAAAACAACAGGAAGTCAGCGGCTTGTTTTCATTCCTGCAGTCGAGCTCCCGTTTACCTCCAAACACCTCTGATCCCAGCACGGACAGGACGACGCGTGCGGCAAGCAGAACACGCCGTGCTCTCGCTGCTTCCACGCACAGCAGGCGTCTGTCAACACTACAGTAACGCAGCAGCACGATTGAAGCACGTGAAAAGTTCAGAGCTGGATTGTTACTTGCAGAAAGTAACTTGGTTACTTTTGGGGGGGAAAAACATTTTTAGAGTAACAGCACTGACAGCTGCGGCTCGGGAGGACCAGCGGCTCGTTGGTGGTTCGATCCCCGGCTACTCTACTCTGCATCTCAACGTAACCCCCAGACCCAGGCCTCTGTGAGGTCCACCAATAGGAGCACAAAAATCTCAGCCCCACACACACACACACACACACGGGCGGCCGACAGCTTCAGCTCCACGCCGGCTTCACTCTGAACGTCAGCCAGGACGCACAGCCAGGAACAACAGGAAAACTGTGTCAGTCTGGAAAAGCAGTCGCAGCATTAGGTCATCAGGCAAAGCAGCATCTGTGACCTTTGACCTCCACCAAGGAGCAGCACAAGATGAAGGAGGATTATGATAAACTGTGAATCATGCAAAGCTACTCTACTACAACCCAAGAAGAAAGATGAGGAGCTGGAAACGAGCACACAGGTCTGAGTTTGTTGCTTTTTGGTTCCAGTTTTCTTTCTCAACCCACCATCACAGCTTCAATAACACTTCCTGTAACCCAGGGGTGGGAACTCCAGGCCTCGAGCTTTATCACCCTGGGTCGGCACACCTGGGTCAAATGATCAGTTCAGTTCCAGGCCTCTGCAGAACTTCACGACATGTTGAGGAGGTCGTTTAGCCATTTAAATCAGCTGACATGTCTGAAAACCTGCAGGACGCCGGCCCTCGAGGCCTGGAGCCCCCCGGAGCCCCGCCCCTGCTGTAACCCTAATATTAATAAAACATTTAACCCTATGATGTCATCTTCTGCTTTTTTTTTTTAAACTGTTGAACCTCTGCACTGTTGCTTTTTCCAAAACAGACTGGGAGCTGACGATGACGCCGTAAACAAAGAGCTCCAGGTTCCTGCTCGCAGCTCTGCGTGTGCGCCGCTGTGTGGCGCGTCGGAGGGTCGCTCTGGACGAGCTGATAGTTACTCCACCTGAGAATAAATGCCACTGTGTCCGTGTGACACTTACTGTAATCAATGATCCCTGCCAGACATGCATGGCGGTGGCGCTTCACTTCCTGTCAGCTTTGACTGTTTGAACGCTCTGCATGACGTCTGTTTTAGATTAATAACTGGAGAAAACGTGGTCAGCATCGACAGGGCCTGAATATTTTTGGTTCAAACACTGAAGACGATGAAAAGTGTAACGAGGAGGCTTCAGCTGCGTCCACAGCAGAAAACGTCTCCTCGTCTCGTTAGCAACAGCTCCACCGCCGTGGCACCACAGAAGCAAAAGGAAAACAGAAAACTTCCACAAATCCCAAAGTGAAAGAAACCTTAACTCATCTACAGACAGACAAGAGCACAAAGACGAAGGTCAACTCACGCGTCGGAGTGGGTAATGTCATCCAAAGTGGCCGAGGCAGACAGATATCTGAAGACACAACAGCAGGAAAAATCACACAGAGACACTCACAGCACACGTCAGCTGAAAACGTCCAAAACATGCTAGAAGCTGCCGCTGTGTGCGGCCGGACAGGAACGCCGACTCTCCTGAGCACACGGAGGAGGTTTAAAAACGCCGCCGCCGTGGATTCAGAGCTGCACGTTCATATAACACGTTGATGGAAAAGAATATTCACATGTAATACAGATCTGCAACATAAAAACCTCCAGCTGAAAAGAAGCCGTCACAGATGAACAGCAGTCACACAGTCAGCACATCCGTGTTGGCGGCGGTCCGCTGCGAGGGGCGGGGCGTAAAGCGAGGTTGCAGGTACACGGGTAAACACTCAGACCTCACAGAGCAGGGAGAGGATCAGCGTGGAGTTCACAGGAGTCACACAGCCACGCAGCTGAGGGCGGAGCCAGGAAACAGGAACGCCGCCCTGACCGAGGAACCTACAGGTGTGTGCGCCTGTGTGTGTGTGTGTGTGTGTGCGCCTGTGTGCGTGTGTGTGTGTGTGTGTGCGCGTGTGTGTGTGTGTGTGTGCGCCTGTGTGTGTGTGTGTGTGCGCGCCTGTGTGTGTGTGTGTGTGTGTGTGCGCCTGTGTGTGCGCCTGTGTGTGTGTGTGTGTGTCTGTGTGTGCGCCTGTGTGTGTGTGTGTGTGTCTGTGTGTGCGCCTGTGTGTGTGTGTGCGCCTGTGTGTGTGTGTGTGGTGTGTGTGTGCGCCTGTGTGTGTGTGTGTGCGCCTGTGTGTGTGTGTGTGTGTGTGCGCCTGTGTGTGTGTGTGTGTGCGCCTGTGTGTGTGTGTGTGCGCCTGTGTGTGCGCCTGTGTGTGTGTGTGTGTGTCTGTGTGTGCGCCTGTGTGTGTGTGTGTGTGTCTGTGTGTGCGCCTGTGTGTGTGTGTGTGTGTGTGTGGTGTGTGTGTCGCCTGTGTGTGTGTGTGTGTCTGTGTGTGCGCCTGTGTGTGTGTGTGTGTCTGTGTGCGCCTGTGTGTGTGTGTGCCCTGTGTGTGTGCTGTGTGTGTGTGGTGTGTGTGCCTGTGTGGTGTGCGCCTGTGTGTGTGTGCGCCTGTGTGTGTGTGTGTGTGTGTGTGTGTGTGTGTGTGTGTGTGTGTGTGTGTGTGTGTGCGCCTGTGTGTGCCTGTGTGTGTGCGTGTGCGCCTGTGTGTGTGTGTGTGCGTGTGCGCCTGTGTGTGTGTGCGTGTGTGCGCCTGTGTGTGTGTGTGTGCGTGTGCGCCTGTGTGTGTGTGTGTGTGTGTGTGTTTACTGACTGTGTTGCTGTTCGAATAATTGTTGTGAAGTAGCTGTAGGCCTGTCGTGATGACCTTTGACCTAGCCCACCAATCAGAAACGGGCCTGTGCAGGTCCCGGTTTAAACAGCCAATCACAATGAGCCGTATCCTGTGTCCACTAACATTCAAACACCTGCACTGGTGAAGCTGCTATTGTGGTTGCCATGGTGATGAGACTTTTGGCCGCACCGCTCAAACCCGAGACCGGAGCTGTGAGCGTCAGGAAGGAGGCCGTCTCTGCTTCCCTCGTGGTCAGCGTCCACTCAGTCCACAGTCACAGAGAAACGTGCGTGTTGGTGATCACATGATGCCATGGAGTTAAAACTCACCGAACATTTCACCCATTTATCTGAAGCTCTGCGATAAATATTAACCGCAGGGACAGGCTCCACCCCCCGCCAACCTGATAAGGATCAGAGGACGGATGGATGATGTGATGATATTTAAACTTTGATCTGTGAAACATGACACGGTGAGCTGCAGCATAAGGTCGAATCCAACGCACAGCAGACTCCTGTTGTGCAACAATCCGATTCTGACCTCGCAGACAGCCTGAGTTATTTTTACAGAAACCGGAGCCGCCCCGCGAGGCCAGCCTCCGCCCACAACTGTCCCCTCCCACTGCACGGGCCACATCAACCCAAACGGCTCCGTCTCCACCGCCTCCGGTTTACTTTGAGACAAGACGCTCAGTCAGCTGATCCACAAAACGAGGAAACGGGAAAAAAAGAGAACATCTAAAAATATTCATGCGGCCGTGACGTGTTCATAACTCACAGCGTCTGTGCGCGCCTCACCCGCCTGCCCGTCTTCCTGGATATCACGTATCATGTGACTAAGCAAAACACCGTCTCTTCCCCTCCTCCTCTCTCGCATTCCTTTCCTCCCACTCGTTCCTGCAGCAGCGAGTCCGAGCTGTCCGTGTGGTTGCAGACACGTTTCCAGCTGCATTAGAGTAAAATCCACGCTGACTGCACGTCTGCGGCAGACGAACGACCACAAACTAACACCGACAGCGCTCGCCGACGTGCTGGTGTATTTCTGCGAGCAGAACAAACACCAGAAACCTGCCGGTGCAGCTGCTGCTGCTTGTGAGTCAAGCACGAGTCGGCAGCGCCGCCCCGTCAGGTCACGCCAACTATCCGAGCGAGCTCGCCAATCCGGTTCATTACAGAGGCGGAACCTGGAAACTTCCAGCAGCCTCAGGCCTCAGCAGCCGGGCGGGAACGCTGCGATTCACAGCGTGTCTTTGCTCTCCTGGCACAGAAACGTGTCCCTCGGACTGACCCAGACTGGAAGTCGTTTCAGGGGTCAGCCGGGATCGCCCGGGGTCAGATGGCGTGCTTGAGGCTCTGAGTGATGCAGCAATTCTGCACATGCTCATTGGGAACGACTCATCCTCTGTGGGGTCTCCAACTCCACGTGTCCGGGAGCGCTGTCACCTTTAACAGGGTTTTTGGACGTTAACGTCAACCGTAAAAACACCCGTGGCGCCAACGCCAAGGTGTGTCTGCGACGGAAGCCGCTGGCCTCGGGAGACACAGGCCTGCAGCTGCATGGTGAATAACCACGGTCCGACAAACGAGTCGCGTTTTACCGTCACTGGGTTTGACTTTGAAACGTTTCAAAGCTCTGTCCTGCCTCGCCTTATAAATCAAGCGCACCCATCTCCATGACGGCACGGCAGCGTTTTCTCCCCACGAGCTCCCAGCGCGTCTACTCCAGCTACAGCCACAAGTCAAACCAACGTGGCTTCCAATCACCAGCAAAGACCTTCATCGGTTCAATAGCTGCCTTTTACTGAATGAAAAAACAAACATGTAATTATCAGCACAATAGTTACACATGGAAGTGTGACCACGCCTCCTTTAGAGGAGGTGCGCTTGATTTCTAACAGCGGGGAACAATGAATGACTGACTGCAGTGAACAGCCTGTAACTCAGACAGCAGAGGGGGGAAGGCTGTTTGAAGAAGCCAAAAATACGGAGGAAGACTGATGCTGAGAGGAAGCAGGAGAGGACACCGTCACATCTGGAGGCAAAGACACCTGATCTCTGAGAGGGGAAGTGAAGAAATACACTGAACCTTTAGCTCCTCCACAGAGAATCTGATAACCAAACACACTCGGGTGAGTGAGGCATGCAGCTCAGGCTGCTGTGGTCAGGACGCCCACACCAAATCCCACCTCAGTGCTACCTCACAGCAGAGCACTCACTCCAGCAGTTGCTCTGTCCGCTGACACCACGGTGCATGATGCTAGCATCACAGACTCACACTCAGTCCTCAGTAACTGGAGCTCAGCCTTCTTCCTGGTCTGTTAGTACAGAAACGTCACAGCAGCCATGTTATCGGTCACATGATGTCATTAAAAATGCTCCGACAGCACAAACACGGTGCAGAGGTCCGGCTCAGGGACCTGAGACCGAGCAGACAGCTGCAGGTGAGCCTGAGCAGCTCCCACACTAGACCGCTGAAATGTTCACGCACACGTTAGAAGCTGGGTGCCAAAGTCAGAGCGTGAGAGCGCAAACAGAGCGAGCAGCGAGCACGGCGTCGACTCACAGATCTGAACGGGTCACCCGCTCGTTCCACTCGCCCAGCGTCTCAGCCGTTCTCACGTAGCTGGAAACACACACAGGACGGCGTCAGCTCAGCCTGAATCACACTTCAGTATAACCCCTCCTGTCATCCTGCAGCTCTGTCTGAAACAAGCTCCGCCCCTTATAGACCCACTTTCTGCTGATTGGCTGCCCCTCACTAACAGAAGGTTAGACAGCAGTGACTTCTCCTTCCTTCAGAAAAGCTTTGCTGCCATTAAAGCGCAGAGCGCCGCTGCGTCTGAGCGCGTCAGAGATGAAACTGTCTCTGCAGCTTCCGTTTCATCTGAACGATGCAACGTGAAACCGGATGGGTCAGTCTGCAGCTCGTTACTACCGGCGCCCGCAGGGACTCGCACACACCCTCTCGCATCCTGTGCCAGAAGCTCGTCTATCAGCAGGTGCTCCCTGCACATCCTCAGGATCACACCTCCTCCTCAGCATCAGGAGGTGGGATCCAAACCAGGTGAAGCTGGACTCTATGTGCAGATGTGGCTGTGCCACAAGCCGAGGCCTTCAACTTGTTCAGTTTCTTCTTTGCAAACCAATCAGGATCCACAGACTCGGGCTGAACCTCCAGCCTCGGTGAAGCGAGCCTCCGACTGCTGAACAGTACTCATGCTTCAACAGCTCGTCTCCTCACCTGTGGGGACCTCCCAGCCTGACAGCCCCGGGGTTCAGTCCACATCGTGGCAAACCAGATACAGCTTTGGTGACGGTGGAAGGAAAAACTCCCTTTTAACAGGAAGAAACCTCTGACAGAACCAGCTGAGGAAGCCAAAGCCATCAAACACATGAATTTAGGCTAATTAAACGCGACGCCATCCAGAACAAATCAATGTTTGCATGAGTCCAACCTTCGGTCCTCTTGTTATTCAGAGCTGAGCTGAAGGCTGTGAGCGATATCTGCTGGGACTGAATGGAGCCTTTATTTAGTCTAAGCTGTGGAGAACATTTGAAACGTAAAGCACCGAGATATACGAAAGCTCTCCGAGGACAGCCTAACCTCCCGGCGCATTCACAGATACGTACGCGTTGGAGGTCTGCACGTCCTGCCAGCTCCTCGTGAGGTTCTGCCTGAGTTCGTTGAGCGGGTTGAGGCCGAGTTTCCTCTTCAGCTCTGCGGCGTGTCTCTCTTTTGCGCACAAAACCTGCCGCAGGGTGTTGATCTCCTCCTCCACCTGAAACACATTCACAGACTTTCTTAAAACAGGAGCTTTAAATCCAACTCCACAGAAAGTCACGTTATTTGATGGAGAGACCGTAAACACCACCATCCTTATTCACCCCCACCCCTCAAACTGTTTTCTGGAGGCTTGGAGAAAGCTGCGTTCACACAGGAAGGAAGGAAACAAACACACACTGGCAACACAAAGGGGGCGGGGCAAATAAAATTGTTCTCAACTATAGCGACTACCAGTGAGAGCTCAGGATACTGCTGACTGACTGATGAAGTGGTAGTAAGTACATTAGAAGGTTACCTAGGTAACCAGCACCCGGTCCATTAGCGACCGCCGAGTCCGGGCGTCTGATCTCAATATAAAAAAAAAAATAAAAAAAAAAAAACAGGCTCAAGTGGCGATCGTGGCTCAAGAGTTGGCAGTTCATCTTGTAATCACAAGGTTGCCGGTTCGAGCCCCGGCTCAGACAGTCGCAGCCGTTGTGTCCTTGGGCAAGACACTTCACCCGTTGCCTACTGGTGGTGGTCAGAGGGCCCGGTGGCGCCAGTGTCCGGCAGCCTCGCCTCTGTCAGTGCGCCCCAGGGTGGCTGTGGCTACAATGTAGCTGCCATCACCAGTGTGTGAATGTGTGTGTGAATGGGTGGATGACTGGATGTGTAAAGCGCTTTGGGGTCGCTATACAAACACAGGCCATTTACCATTTTTATTTCAGGCTCAAGTAACGGTTTAACCGCAGAGGCCGTGGCGTAAACGCAGCGCTCATGATGTCATGACAGTCACAGGATCAGAGGGTTAAATTAAACAGCTGCTCAGTGAAACCTTTCGCTGTAATCAGTCACCTGACACTTCATTTCAAAACTCCTGAGCTCCAGTTTTGGATCCAAACACTGCAAACTAACACTTAAAGAAGCCCCGCCCCCACCACACAGGTGCTGTTGAGCACCTGGGATCTCAGCAGGTGTGGTGTGTACCTTGGTGAGCTCGGTGCGGAGCTCCTCCGCCTCCTCCTCCGTCAGGCCAGGTGGAGGAGGGTTGGCTGGGTTCCCCATAGCGCCCTCCACGGGCACGTCGGACAGGCTGTCTGTGCGATCCACGCCGAGAGCTTTGTTAGGAGAGTTCAGGTTGATATCTGAGAGGAGGAAGAGGAGGAGGCGGGATTAGAGACACTGAGACAATGCTGAAAGCAACAGAGGCGCGCGCACACACACACACACAGGAAAAGGCGAGTGCTGGCGGCAGCTGATATCAAACAGGAAGTGGCAGCAGCTGCTGCGAACACCGCCACACTGAGAAAGAAACTGAGTCATGCTGGAACAGAAGGACTGGTTCTGATGGGCGTAGCAGCCTGTGGACCAGTGTGGTCCAACACGGAGGACCTCTGGCGGTGGACGTGAGTCAGCAGGAAACGCTGGCGACCCCGGTCAGACCGGCAAATGGTAAAAATCAGCAGGATGACCCTGTGACCTCCACCACCTCCACCCGTTTCATTTAAACCAGGATCCACACTTGAGAAAAAAATCTCACTGATGACCGACTGTAGAGACGACACAGACCACCATAATGGTGACCTCGCAGGTGTGTCAGCCAATGAGCAATGGCCTCAACGCAGGTTTACCCGCATTTCCAGCACAGCCAGCTGGGCCCCAATAAATCCTGACTCACGGTCGAAGAGCAGATTATTGTACGATTGTGCGTCCGTCTGAGCCCGCCTTTGTCACAGACTTTACTGGGCGGGGGTGTGTCGATGGACAGATGGCAGTCAAAGCGATTCTTACCCAGCGTCCCCCGGTGCATTAAAGTAACGCTGTCCCTGTGCTGACAGTCATAATGCATTAAATCAGGTTTCACATCGCACAAACACCCTTTAGTGTGTGTGTGTCTGCGCAGCTACACTGACCCGAGTGTGCAGGATTCAGCCTCGGAATTACAGCCCAGCATTTCAAAATAATAGACAACATCTGCAATTATAGAGGCACAAAAACACCACACAATGTTCTCTCGATGCTCGCCGGCATCATTCATGTCGTTACTGAAGGACGTCCTTCCACACTTCCTGGTTACAGCAGCGCTGACACAGCGTTACAGCCGGACCCTCGGCACAGGCCGCATGCAAGCACCTGGGCAGCGCCTTCAAAGGAACATTTAATCACAGTAAAAATGACCTTCTCGTGTTTACGTGAATGCCATAGCAACAACATCACCGTTCATGTGACATACAAAAATGGTCCTGCTAGTGTCACAGGTGGGGGTGGGGCTACAGTATTAATCTATGACTGACAAACCCCCCACTCTAATTTTGAAAGTTGAGTCGCTGCTATAGGGGCGTTCCCAGTTTACATCACTGCAGCGGGAGTAACAAATAAAATCAAAGTTTCTTCCACCTCCACGTTTGCTTACACCACCTGACCCAAAATGGTCAAAACATTAAGAACCCCCAAAGGATTTTACTGACCTAACACAGCAGGGACCAGACATCAGACCCTGGAATATTTCAGGTAACTCTGACAGGGTCAGGTGGGAAGCATCAGGTGACGCTGCCTCAAAGGGTTTCTCGACAGTGTCATCACTGTGGGTCTGTTCCCGCACATCCCTCCATGATCCCCTGAAGAAGAGTCATTTCCTAATCCTTCATGCTTCCGGCTGCGGTCTCACTTCCTCACTGCCCTCACAGAGAAACCGTGTGTGTGTGTGCGCGTTATCAGCTTCATCATCTGATGTGGCAGCGGTCTGACGAGTCTGCAGACGCTGAGCCGTGTCCTGCATGTGAACCACACCTTCCTTACACTTCTGCTGATAACACAACACAACAGCTGCTGCCTCGCCCTGTGAGCCAGCAGCGACCGAGCCTCGTTACTGAAGGCCGACCCAAAGCAGTCAGCAAACCTCTTCCTGGTTCATCGGGTAGTTACTGCGGGGTCACTCCACAGACTCGGACGTCCCTCTTTATCCGCCCTGCTGCGCACAGACGAGAGGCAGCAGTAACCTCTGCTCTGAAAACGTCCATTAGAGCTGCAGAGCAGCGCGGGGAGTTCACAGAGAGAGGGCCTGCAGGAGCCGACCGAGGCGTCATCAGGTCACCTCGGATCCTATTGGCTCAAGCATTGACGCAAGACACGTCTGTCCCGTTTATTCCTCACGTTCTGGGGTTGTCTTACTGAAAACAAGCGTCTTCACCTGAACTGATGTTGAACGTTTAACAAATCTGGGTTTTTTGAGCTCGAGTAAATTTAATCCCACTGACAGAAAGGTGCACGTGCTGGCTTTATTAAAAGCAGATGATCAATAGGAAGTCATTTCCTTTTTGTCCTGAAACCTGAATTCACGCCTCACCTTAAAATAAAGACAAAGCTCCCTTCACAGTCTGACTAAATGCTGCTTTTAAGGCTGACCTATTCTGCACTTTTTCTACTCTTCCAGCTGTATGATGTCATCACGACAAACAAAAGCTCCACCCACCTGCTGTTTAAAACTTCCCTTTGTAAGGCTTATTCTGATTTGTGAATCATGCTAAGCCACCCTGGCAGTGTGAGAGAACACAGCCTGATTCAGCTGTAAACACAGCGTCAACACAACATGAAGCTGTCAGTCTGAAAAGTCAGTGATGACACAGCAGCAACTAGCATGCTAACAGCCAGTTAGCTGTGTCCACCTGACAGGAGGGGTCGGTGACTCACTCAGGTGAGGCTCCAGGTAAATACAAGAGCCTCTGCTGCTGCGTTTGGGGCAGCCAGCCAATCCTACCTGGAGTCTGAGCTGGTTAAACACGTCGGCAGTGTCCGTGTCCGTAAACACGGAGCTCCGTTTTTAATATGATTCAAGTTCCACTCAGCGGCTAACCCACAAACCCGAGCTCAGAGCCCGGGAACCGGGCCTGTGGCCAATGTTCGGTGATCTCCCAGCTTCGTACAATCAAACCGGGCTCACACAGTGGGCTGTCGGCCGTTTATGACCGATTAAAGTGGCTAAAGTATCCGCTGAGAGCCGCTCTGCGCACTCTCACACTCGGCTAGGCTAGGCTAGCTCCGTGCTAGGCTAACACTCAGCGTTACCTTGGCTGGCGGGGTCCATGGCGTCGCTCTCTCGCGGATTAAACTCCTCTTTCGAAGATTTAAAGTTTCAGGTGGAGCGCAGCGGACAGCAGAGCGGCACACTGAGCACAAACCGTCCACACTACAGCTTCGCTGACAGAAAGTCGTCGACAAGAACACACGGGGAGCAGCAGTCGTTTATCCCACGGTCCGTGAAATTAACGCCAAACAACAGAGGCACATCCGGCGGGGAATTTCAAAATATTACGTTAGTGCCTGGAGGCGATGACTGGGAAATATTTATTGATGACTCCTCTATTATTTTATTAAGAAATAGTGGATTACCTGCCTCGGAAATTAAAAAAAATCCATTATCGATATATTCATCAGTGTCTGAGTACAATTCTGAAGAACAGATTACACGTTACATTTCCAAACTGGCAGAAACACAGTGAACCAATCACACTGAGGTGTGTCATCACTCTGGTTAAAGGTGTTTTTTGTAACAACCCACTGTAAACTTTGACCTGCAGGGGGCGACACGGCATCAGCGGGTTTTTTATTTTATTCGTTTATTTTAGCCGCGTTTCCTCCGGATGCTGCTATGCTTTTACCTGCTAAATAAAGGTCACCCTGACTCACTGCTCCGTCCTGTGGTACAAACATGAAGGTACAGCCCAGGCCTGTTCTAACTCCGGCTTGCATCTCTACATCACAGTGCACAGATGTTCTCGACGTGAAGAGTAAGCAGATGTTTCTTCTCGGTTTGTTACTCAGCTGTTCTGAGATTATCTATGACACACACACAGGTACAGTGCTTATCAGATTCACTGCACACCTGTCATAAAAACAATAAAAGACAAACATTCATTTTAATTTCATATATATTTAATATAGTGAGTCGTGCCTCTTTAAACAGGAGCGATGAATTTCAAACTGAACTACTGACTTTAGTCACAAACATGAGCGAGCACCTCGCACGTCTGAGAGCAGTCACTACATTCAACCTCTCAAATGCATATTTGTGTAAATAAATGTAATTTAGCACCTTAATCAAAAATAATATTGATGAACTTTAATATTTTTCAGAGCTTGTGCGTGCTCGTGGGTTACCTGTTACAGAAACAACAAATCACAACAACAGATGCCTCAGGTGCTTTTATATTGTAAGACCTACTATAACACACAGAAAACAATGTTTTAATAATTAGCATTACTGTTAGCTGTGGCAGAAACCTGGCTGTGAGTGGGCCTCTGCGTGGACTCCAGGAGCACAGGTGACAGATTTACTTTAGACCAACGTGTTTTTAAATCATGACGACACATTTTACAGCAGCAGAAACACAAAAACGTCACATTGACGTGTTTGTGTGTAAACCTAAAAACACACCGTCAGAGAGTGTGACAGGTCTGCTGAGCTCTGATTGGCGCTTTAAGGCAGGTGTGCTTTTATTTTTAAAGGGCAGTCATCCAAACAGGAAGTGGTTTCTCCTCAGCACAGCTGCAAAATGCTGCTGAAATACTTTGGTTTGACACTTTGTGTTTATCTGTGAATGGAAATGCAGAACAGCTCTTCGCAGCACGCACAGCGTCTCCAGCCTCAGAAATCTGACCGATGTGATTTTTAAACCTGCGAGACGCCCTCATGACACACGCGCAAACACCACGTCCGTGGATTTCAGTGATTCTTGAGATAAGGGACAAAACACGTCCGCCGATAAAACCCGATTTTGGGGTTAAAAATATGCACACAAGTGTTAACCCAGCTGACTAAGAGACAAACCAAGGCAATGTTTACACAACAAAAGTATGATTTTGTGTTTTGTTATGCATATATATTTACTTTAAATGGTACAATACATTACCAGTACCCTAAAAATCCACTGTCCACAAGCAGGTGTGATGATATTAAAACAGAGAGAAAAATGAACAGTAATGTAAAATTAAACATCAAGTCACTAAGTATTTAAGTCAATACCTTATTTAATATCAAAATGTACACCTGAAATTTATTTTTGCATATTTTAAGTGATTAAAATCGTGTCCAGAGTTTTTGTCAACACCATCAGATTTTTTAAAAAGTACAAAAAAATCAGGAATGATTGTGGGCAGCTTACACTCTGAGGACCCCTTTACCACTTCCTGTTCGATACACATGCCATGGTGAGTTTTTTTGTTTTAATTTCATTTATGGCACAACTTTGTGATAAAACTGCGTCACAGCCACAGGGCATGTAATCTGTAATCTGTAGTGGAATACATTTGAAAAGTAACCTTCCCAACGCTTCCACCGTCAACACCTTATCAACTCCAAAATTCTGGGTTTTTGTTTATTTTTCCCTTTTGAAGAACCATATGTTTTGCTCCCTCATGATATTCCAATAAAAAAAGTTAATTTTCTCAATAAATGTGTAATTTTCATGCTGCTAAATATGATTGTTTCTTATGGAGATTAAATACAAGCTTCTGAAAATATGTACGACTGTAACTCTAATAACAAAAAGCCAAACAATCTTACTTTTAAATGTGGTATAATTAGTTTGAAAGCATAAACAGTAGAACAGAGAAGCTGCTAAAAGTCAAACTAGCTGAAACACTTTATTTAAAATATATATTTTGCATTTCTTTGTGTCTGATGGTGTTGACAAAAACGTTGCACTTCTCCAGCAAAAACATAAATTATTAAAAAATGTTACACCTGGGAGACCAAAACATGGTGAGACGGCCAAAACTTATAGTGTAACAATTATATGTAAATATGATTTTGAAAAATCAAAAATATTTTTTAGAAAATTAAAACCTGTTTTGTCCCTAATCTCAGGCATCACTGACAAAACACGCAGAAACTCAAAGTGTCCAAAGACTGAATGAGTCAGTCATGAAACAAAATCAGCATCAGAAAAATTATTATTTAAAAATCAACAATGAATATGTGAGAAGCATCATCATCATCATCATCATCACGACACACGCACATAAATGTATCACGCCTCCTCGGCCTGTGAACCTCGTTATTTCTCTGCTTTCACTTCCTGTCAGGTCAGCGATCGTCTGTCACACTTTCTACAAAAACGAGCCCAAAAATGTAATTTCTCAGGCACAATTTCAAAATAAGAGCCCAAACAACCAAACATCTCTCAGAGGAATCCCCCCCAACCATCCACCCACCGCCTAACTCTTGTTGTGGGTGGGGCTCAGCCAGGAGAAAAACTGGGCAGATGAGGAGGAAGTGGAGGAGGTGGAGGCAGCGATGCGGGGGCCGTGGGTCTCCCTCCTGGAGGGACAGCAGGTGGAGGTGAGCGTGAGCAGTACGAGTCTCCTGAATCCTGCAGATTAAGATTTCAGATTAAAAGATGGTTAAAACGGATTTGGCTCTCTAACACGCAGAGACGACCAAGACGTCACCTGGAAGCTCACCTGGTGTCTCATACCTGAGATAAACTTCCTGTTTGCTCCAAACTATTTTAAATCCTGTCCTGATGTTCAAAATGGTGACCTTTGACCTTTCTATTTCCAAACTGACTTCCTGCTGGATTTGGTTGGTCTTTATTTCCTCTCGCTCTGATGTCACGATTACAGAATGTTGCATTATTGTATTTTAATCTGCATGAATGAACTTTTACATAATTATAAACAGCTTTTCTTTATATTAAATCAAGTGTCCGCAGAGCTTAAGCAAACTGGCCCAAAGACATGTTTCAGATGATTATTATGAATTCAATTTTAGAGCAACGTTAATGACAGACGTGTGGTGGGAGAGAAATTTACATATTTAATAAATGGAAATGTTTATCATGAATGATATAATATTATGCTTTAATAAAGCCTGAATAAAACAGTGATAATGCTTCCATATTTATACTACAGAGAATTAAAACTGTCATTACACAGACCGACCACAGGGTGTCAGCAGAGCTGAGTCTCCGCTCCTTGTCTGCACTGTAAGTTTGTCCAGTCCCACCACGCTCCTGTGCTCCACTCAGTACCACACAGTAAGAGTATTAATAGTATAAGTACTGCGGTAACAGTGATAGTAGTATGGGGGTAAAAAAAAAAAAGTAAAATAAAAAAGAATAAAGTTCAAATAATTTTATTATTATAGATTTTTTTAGACAATCAGTGCTCGCTTTAAAAACAAATTCGACTGACTGTAACCTGATTTCATTTATTTGTAGTCGCTGTGAGTTTAAAGTGTTTTCTGTAAGAAGCAGAATTATTATGTTTATAATAAAACGCATCAGTGATCGTCTAAAAGTAAAGATTAATTCATCTTTAATGTAGTCTGACCAAAAGGATCCTAGAAAAGCTGTTTTTATCCTTTTAAAATAAAAGTATTCTGAGTCACATGCTTTTCACAATAAAAGCATGCCGCAGGTGAGCATACCTGAGCTGTGCGGCAGTGATGTTCGTGCGGCTCCGTGTGGCGTTTATGTGCAAATAAAGCAGCCGACGTAAGCCCACGCCCTCTGCAGGATGACCAGGAGGGCGAGCAGGTAGAAGAACAGTGTGACAGCCTGCAGGTGGAGAGGAGGGTGGATGAGGGATGAGGAAGAGGATGGAGGTGAGATGCGGTGGATTATTTGCTAACTCTAACGAGCCGGCTGAGCGGCTCAGGTGGGAAGTCTCCACCTGTTCATTCAGGTGTAGCTGTGCTTCCCTCCTGCTCCCGTACATGGAGGGTTAAAGCTCTGATTATTCCCTTTTCCATATTTAAACTGATGTCTGAGCCTGCAGGCTGCGCCGGCGCCCGGCATCACGCTCGGCTCGCAGAAACAAAACGAATAAAAAGAGAAGAAGAAGCAGCTGTGGAGGTGGAGCCATATCTGTGGGTGGGAGCAGCGTGCAGAGCCTGGTCCATGATGATGACGAAGGATGACACTGACCTGAGAACGGGCGTCTTCAGCACCTCTCGTCTCCACGGTGACGTCAGAGCCTTTGGGTTTCTTCTCGTCGTCCTCTCTTCCTTTCGACGCTCCAAACTCGCCGTCTCTGCTCTCCGTGTGACGCTTCTCCTTCCTCACAGCTTCATCCTCCTCGCTCCTCCCCAGCCTCACCCTGAGCTCACTGCGCCGGCACCAGTGACGAGCATCCTTTGCTTCCCTTTCCTTCGGCCTCGTTCAGCTGCTCCTCAGCGGCCTCGGACAGGTACGCCCAGCCCTGCACCTCCTCCTCCTCCTCGCTCTGAGGTTCTTCTGCTGGATTTTTTGAGCAGATATGAGAGCAGATGGGGACTCATGGAGGACAGATAGGCAGCCTTGTGGGAGGAGATTTGACCCCAGCAGCATGAAGTGAACCCGTCCTCGCTGATGCATCGATGGACCTCCGGCAGGGTTTGTCCAGGAGCTGAGGGGCTCAAGCCAGCTGTGCACCAGCCGGGGTAAAAGTCAGCATCCTCCTCCTCCTCTTCATCCATCCCCTCACACTGACAGGTGAAGACAGTTACAGCCACATGTTTAACCACTCGCTGTGTTTATCCCTCCGTGATGGTTTTGGAGACCTGCAAATGTTCTCTTAGTAAAACATGCATTTCCTGCAAACCCTGTATACAAAAGACGGACACAGACTCAAGCCCATTGGTCAGTGAGGTCCAGCTGTTCACGGTTTGTAGCATTTTGAAGCCTCATTGGTAACGTTTCAATTGCCACCATGTTGGTTTTGTTTCAGGAAGTGACCATATTTGGACAACCTTCATGTCTCACAGCCGACCCTCAGCTCTGTTGGCAGCTCTGAGGCTACTGATGGACTCTTTCATTAGATTATATGTTAGAGAAATTCTGAGTAGTTTACAATCAAATGTAAAGGTGAGCGTCTTTAAAGCAGGTGTGATACTCTACCTGCTGTGTGCTCATTCCCTCCTGCCGTTCGCCGCCCTCTTTAGCTAGCTCGGCGGCGGCTTCCTCCTCTCCCTCCGTGATATGACCCGAGTCCAGCTCAGGAGTCTCCTGCTCTGAAACCTCCTCTGCGGCCTGCTGGTTGCCGTTTGGTTCTGTGTTCTGGATCAAAGAATCTTTGGGTTCTTTTGGCTCTGGTTCTTCAGGAACATCCTTCACGACTGGAGAGATATCACAAAACCATGATGCTGAGGGAGGAGGAGCCAACATCACAAAGGAAATAATGAGATGAACTGATGTAAATGCAACACGAATAATGCAGTGATGTAAACATGTTTATTTATTCATAATGTATTTGCTGCTTCATTCTTTTACTCCACGACTTTTCATTCAATTCATTTTTGTTTTCTCTCCTGCATCGCTCCATTTTCTGAATTTTAGAAGATTTCAGAAAATCTGAGCATGAACAGAAATGAACAAAGACTTAAAAATGGGCGGGGTTTTATAGAAGTGACCTTTAACATGCACGCCCACGTCTAACGGCTGAGAGCTGGACCAATGAATACTGCTCACACTAGTTCGTCTGCAGCTGCAGTCCTTCATACTCGTCGTCATTATTGTTTGAATTCTTGACGTGGCTCCTGATGCTCTGCAGCAGCTTCACTGTGAGTTATTCTGCCTCTGCTCAGGACCTCCAGGACCAAGCTTGGCGCCTACTACACCTACATGTGAAGGCGCCGCCCCTCGCCCTGCTTCTTCAGGAGGGGACGTTAAATTAAAGCACGTGTCTGTATTGTGGAGATAAAACACTACAACCTGATTAGTTTGGTAACCCGCTGCAGCTGAAGACATCTGTGTTACGATGATCACAGGGAAGCACCTGGGCAGGTATCACTGATGACAGCTGACCTCCTGCATCCTCAGAGTGTTGGTGCCAACATGGCGTCGCACACTGCGGATCCTCTGACCGATAACACAGCTGCTGTGAGGTTACTCCAACAACAACCCATAACCAGCTCATTGTGCAGTAATGTGCTCCAAACAGAAGCCACACCCACAGCATTTAAACCAATCAGAGGAAAGGCACTTTAAAGTGGGAGGAGCTAAACAGGAAGCGCTGCAGGATCATATAAAGATGGCTTATTGTAACCTTCGTGTCATGCAGAGCTGCCCTGTGTCGGGTTGGGGAGGTGGAAATGAGCCGAACGAGTCGAACCTTTGATGAAGTCGATGCTCTTCAGCGCCCTCTCCTGCTCGCTGAAGTTAACCCTGTAACGACTCAGGCGCTCGTAACTTGGTCTCAGCGTCTCGGACGGACCCGAGGCACTCGCCGCCTTCACCCTGAGGACGGCGAGGACACGAGGAGGTATAGGAAGCAAAAGAAGGTTGGTTAATGCTGACGAAGTGAAGGAAGGCGTGAAGAATATTTCCCGTCACTCACTTTGTGATCATCTCTGCTGAACTCTGAAAGAGGAGGAGGAGACAAATGAGCCGAGTCAGACTCGTCACCGCCGCACACAGGAAACGGGAGTCGCTCACCTGAACAAAGGCGGCCATGTTGGGCTCTTCCATGCTGCTCGCGGCGCTCTCCGCCAGCCTGCTGTTGGCTGCCATGCTGTCATCATGGCAACGCACCAGCGCCCGCGCGTGGCCCGTCTTCTCCTCTTGCTCAGAGCTGATTCGCTGCGCCATCGCCTTCGATCACAGTAAAAAGAAACACTATGAGGCGTGACCATCGTGTTCAAACAAGACGTAGTACAGAGCTTTCTGTCACAAACAGACAGCAGGCGCAAGAACATTCACCGCAGAGGCTGCAACGTGTTTGAGGACACGTGTCCTCATCCGAAGGACGTTATCCTGATTACGTCCCTCAGACGAAGACACGACAGAGCAGCAGGCGGGTCTCTGTGCGGTGACAAAACAGCGACTGCTTCTTTCTGCTTGGGACTGTAAAATCAGTTTCCTGCTCACATCGTTTACAGAGTGACGTCAGGGAACTGAAGCTTCCTGCTGAAACAGAAGCAGCGATGGAGGCAACCAAGTAAAAGAAGAAGGACTTTGTGAGGTTGCAGTCGTCTGATTGGGTCTGCAGCTTTCAAAAACAAAAACGTACTTTTATTGGTGCAAAGTCCAAACAGGAAGCTCACTCCTCATGCAGACACACTGAGGGTAACCAGGGAAAGGAGACACAGGGACACACAGCAGACACTGCCACAGGGCAGGAAGTCAGACTGAAGACAAAGCACAAGCAACACGGGACTACCAAAATAAAACAGGAAACCTACGCGCACGGCACACATTTATATTTTAAAGTCCCGACGTCACTGAGGACGAGGGCTGAACTCTGACCTTCTGTCTTTCCTCCAGGATGGAGAACATGCGGTTGAACTTCTCGCACACGCTCTGTTTCTGAATGCTGCAGTTCTCCTGAGGAGCAACGACACAGTCAGTCAGGTCTGACGCAGATAAACCACGAGGCTCTTTCATGGACTCCTGACACTTTTGAATTCATCTTCGTGCAGACTCTGCTTCATCACATGCTCAATAACTGGATCGTGATGTGTGTGCACGTGTTAACGAGCAGCTTTTGTGCAGATGTTCTGCAGCTGCAGTCTGAGGAGCTCGAAATCACAACAGCAGTCGCCTCAAGGTGCTTTATATTGTAAGGTAGACCCTGCAATAATACATAGAAACACCAACAATCATATGACCCCCTGTGAGCAGCACTTTGGCGACAGCGGGAAGGAAAAACCTTTGGAAGAAACCTCCGGCAGAACCAGGCTCAGGGAGGGGCGGGGCCATCTGCTGAATTGACAAAGTGAAGAGATGAGCAAAGGTGTCATGAAACGATCTGAAACACGTCCCTGTCACGACCTGCGGGATCAGCAAGGAGCTGGTCATTATGTTCGCTCTCTCTCTCTCTCTCCTGTTTTGCTGGGGCGGACATCATGGTGGGTTCACGCCCTCGGCCCACGCCTCCCTGTATTGGAAACACCTGGACCTCATCAGGACCAGCCGGTATTGAAGAGGGGAGAGGTCTGCTGTTTGGCGCTGGATCGTTGTTAAACTCCCGTCAGTAACAAGTTCAAGCCAAAGTTTCTCGTGCCCATGTGCAGAATATTAACGTGCATTTGTTTGTATCGAGCTTCCTCGGACCATCGCATTGTTCCAGGAGCAGTGTGTGGAAGGAGCGACTGGTCACAAAGCTGAGAGAGAGGGAGGAGCGTGTGTGTGATCCTCTTTTCCCCAGATTCCTGGAGGTCTGCCCCCCTCACGTCTTGTATATAGCACTATCCCCGCACAGCCTGTAAATACACTCGGTGAAGAGATTGTAAACAAACTTTCATTGTTAACTGGCTACTCAGCAGTGGTGTGTCCAGCGGGGTGGCCTGGGGGGGCACAGGTCACCTCCCCAACCAGACTGGCCACCCAGGTGCCACCCCGAAGCTAAAACAATAAAATTCAATCAAATAGCCAATGTACGATTATGTTTTCATCGTGAAACTCGGATGTCCGAGTGTAAGTGAATGCAGCATTGGCTTCTGCACTATGAGCATCAGGGTAGCAAAGGAAGGAGAACCAAGCACGAAAGAGACACCGCGGAAAATAATTTTTCAGCGAAAGAAAATGAGGAGAGAATAAATGTCCCAGTAAGTAATATTAAGTTTGTTGAGTTTAGTAAACTTAAATTAGAATCCCAAGGAAAAAATAACACTTGAAGAATTATTGCAGCCGTCGCATATTTGAGACAGTCGGCTGCTGGGGGAGCTAGCATAAGAGTTATGAGTTATAAGATACAATCCAAGTCGTAGCATTGCTGTGTGGAGCTGCAGGTTAACACTGGCAGCGTCACCATGCCAGCTGACTGTATCATCAGCCAGTGTTCTGTATACATCAATATTACCAAAGTTTACCATGAGGCAGCACTTACACTGCACCGTGCGGTCCAGCTAATTTCTCTCATTACTGATCCTATCTGCCAGCTCCATGTTATGAATAGAGTGAATCACCCCTGTGCCATGTTCAGTGCAGGGATGTGCAGTTCTGGTCCTCCCGGTTCCAGATGTTTCCAGACTTCAACACAGCTGATTTAAAGGATCATTTACAAACACGTAGGTGTTTGGGGATTGTTTGATTTGAACTGGCTCTGTTGGTATCCGGTTGTTCAGTGATGACGCGACGAATCCTACTTCCGGGTCTAAAGTAGTCTGTGTTTAATATGGCTTTTGTGTTGTTAACATGTTTAATGTTTTGTATTTTCTTCTATTTGATCTCAAAAAGCTCCTAAAACAGTCAGTGATCACTGTTGACCTCCCTCGGCTTTTATTACCACTAATCATTTATTTAAGCTCAGTTTTTAAAACCTTAGGATGTAACTACAGCCCAGCCCATGCAGCAGTATATGAATGACTAACCTCGTATTGTGGATGGATTATCTCAGTTGTTCTCCTGGCTGAAGTTTGGTCCTTTTACAGCATCCTGCCATGCGATTACATTTGTTCCTGACCACCGAGAACACTCACGGTAACTTTTATCCAGTGGAAAAAAAAGTTAGCTTGTTTATATTATGCTAACATAGCTGTGTCGCTAGCGGTCACCTAGCACATCATTATATACCAGCTAGCCAAACTTCAGTAACCCTACAAACGTCACTGCTGTTTAGTTTTCTGTCTTCATTTATGCTGGAAGTGATAACAGAGCTGTACATTTTAATTTGTTTCCAAAACCCCGCAGTCAGGACATGTTATATTGTATTTAGATAGAAGCTAGCGAGCTAACTCCCTGCTAACTTCTAACTCCGTTAAATGTCATAAATTCCGTTTTCATGGATGCCTGGATGTTAAACTCAATTGTTACACCTGGTAGAGCAGAACGCTGATCATTTTATTAAAGATGAAAGACTTTAGACAGTTTTTCAACTCTCAGTAATGCCACAGTGATCGTTTGATATATGGACCTGCAGCGGAGTTTAGACCCAGACACGGCTAGTGACGTCAGACTGAACAACCGGATAGGAAACATCTAAAACGTGCAGGATAGGGTCCACGAGGGCCGGAAGTTGACATCCCTGACTTCTAGTCAAGGTCATCAGGAAAGTTGTTGTTTGTAACACAAGTTTTTGCTTTATTACTTCAGAGCCAACCAGTAGAGATAAAAGAACAGGAAGAATGAAAAGATTTCTTCCTTAAGAAGGCTAAAATACACCCAGAAGCAGAGAACAATGTCCGCAGTCATCATTGTCACCTGTGAGTTCTACAAATGAAGGTGTGTGAGAGAGAACGAACAAGGAAAATGCAAGGAAGGGATGTTCAACCGATCCATAGGGGACAAATCCTAATATTTGTATTGTGGTACGTAACTGGAAAGTAAAACAAAATCCTGTTTTAAATAACATGTTTTTTTATTGTTACACTAAAACAATACACTGCCAACCCCAAATCGTAACATTATTTAATGAAATGTAATCTTTTGATATTATCCCAGCACCTGTTCATGATCCACCAGATAACCAGGATGCGGTGCCTTTTGAAACATCGTGTACGACACCGGGCCATCCACATGGTATTGAACCTCCAGTCTTACTTATAGACTAATATTGACAGCCTTTAAAATCTCATTCTAATAAGAGTTATTAGGGTTATAGGGTTATTGCATTATGGTTAACAGTTGATAGACTTTTTTTAACACTATCTGTGCCCCTACCTGCCCCCCAACAGAAACACGCCACTGCTACTCCTGCGTGCGGATGCTGAAAGGCAAACCGTGACCGTCTCATAGCTCAGACTGTTTGTAACACTGTGAACTGAGCTGCCAATCACAGGACTTCTACAATGAATGTTATTGTTGTTTATTGGTTATCGCTGACATCACACACCTCTATGTGTCTGCAGGTCTCCTCCAGCTCATTGATCACAGTCTGGACTTTGTCGCTGAACGCCCTCAGAGAGGCGACGCCTTCGCGCAGCTGGTCCTGGAGAACAGAAGGAAGTGACTGCATGAGGTGGTAACAGCTGCAGGTCATTCAGCAGAAAACAGCTGTGAGAGCTGAGCAACAGTGTGAGCCGGACACACAAACACAGAGATCATTTATTTAAGCGCCTAATAACAATAATAACGCAGGCAGCAGGTCACTGCAGTACCTTCTGCTGCTGGTAGATGGCGCTCAGAGGAGCCACCTCGCAGGACTGATGGGCCCCGAAGACTTTGCAGAGCGAGCAGGTGGGAACCTGACAGGTGAGGCAGTAGATGTTCACCTTTTCTCCCTCGTGGTCGGAGCATGTTGAATGAGCAGGAGGTGAAGGCGGAGGGAGGGGCCTGGAGGTGAACACACAGGAAGTGGTTAAACACCGCGTCTCTGCTTTAATCACCTGTCGTCAGACATCACCTGGCTGTGACTCAACCTGGTGCTGTTGATTTCCTCTTTGTAGATGTCGATGATGTTCTCCACCAGCAGGTTTCGCTGAAGGCCGTAGACGCCGTGGCGGTCCAGCAGCACTTCTTGTCTGCAGGACGGACAGCGGAAACGCCCGCTGTTCACCGACATGGTGGTCCGAGCGTGGAACAGAGACGGCTGCACACAGGAAGCAAGAAACCAAAATGCCAGCTTAACCCCGAACGCCATCGTGACGCACAAACCGGGCGGCAAACAGCGGCCGAGCCTCCCATCACACAACATCTGTTACTGGAGCATCGAAGACACACAACACAGCCCGAACACACAACATCAAAGTGACAGAAATGATCCTCGCTACGTGATCTTTGTGTATCTGCTGTACTGTTAGCTGTGCTTGGTCACCTCCAGTTTTACTTTGGCGGTCTGTCTTATTGTGGTTTTACTTCCTGTTGTTGTTGCCAGCCCCGGCTTACCTGTGCCCACCTGTGTCCTTCCTCACTGCTTTACTGTGATCACAGCTCCACGTCTGCACTCCCTTACAGGACGGACCGAGCTTCCTTCTACTCTATTTCTGTTCAGCCTTTACTAATGAAATACAAACAAAGCCGTTCTCCGGATTTCAGCAACCTTCAGTTTCATTCTCAGCTCTCAGCTCACAGCTGGAGTCGGTGCTCGGTTGTTTTGTGCTAGATTCTGAGCTGAAGGTTTCATCTCTCTCCAAGCAAAGTTGACACAACCAAGCAAAAGAAGATCCAAACTACGCTTCGCAGTTCACTTTCTCATGAATTGCTTCTTAGCTTTTCTGTTTTGCTTCCATCACACGTAATGCACAGCTCTGTGTCTCAGTGAACGGCACGAACAGCTTCCCATCTACAGATCTGTTTCTGCATTTTCACTGGCTTGTTACCCACCAGTCTACTGTTATGTGCTGACTTCCAACAAGGAAGTCTCCTTTCTGCGGTTCAAGACTGAAGAAATGTAAACTTTTTAAAATGATGACGAGGAGCAAAACTCTCAGCTGTGTCTGTAATCAAACCTCCGTAACGTTGCTCTGCTTCACGTCAGCAGCATCAGGTCATGTTCACATGTTGATTAATGGTTTTCTTTCGTTTTTGATCTACTGCAGAATATTTGTATAAATCCCAGACCAGGAAAACCACCTCCATGTTTTTCTGTTTTATCCTCAGTTACTTTGACACAAAGGCCTCTGCTGTGATGCTCACACCTGTGACAAAGTCTCGCAAGTGTCAGCTTCCTTTTTATAGATGCAAAAATATGGAAATGTGCTGATGCATGATCAGAATTATAATATTTCTGACTGTCTGAGGCAAAATTCCCCCGATTCCAATCGAATCGATTCTAGAAATCAGTGACGACACCCAGCCCTGAGATTTAGCTCCACCTCCTCCTATCCCAGCATCTTCCTCTGTAACATAACCTTCTGCCTGTCCTCCATAAACCTTCGCTCTGCTCCTCCTTTACCATCACAGCGTTTGTTCCCCCCTCCCCTCCTCTGTCTTCAGGCTGGAGCACCGGAGGAGGTCAACATTAGCACGGCTCTGATTTACGTGAAAATGTTCGCAGATGTGAGGCAGCAGCAGGTTTCATTACCATGTTGCACATTTGGAGTCATATCTTCATACACAGACAGTGAAATAAGAAAAATGGCAGCAGTGTAGATGTTGATGCTCCTGGATGTGCGAGTGGAGGAACTGCTGGGGGAGAAGACTCTGCAGGGCACACGCTGTGTTTACAATACACCTTCTCTGTAATGTCCAGCAGAGGGCAGCTGCGGTCTGTGACAAGACGGACGCCCTGTATTTGTAAAGCGCTTTACTCGTCCCTAAGGACCCCAAAGTGCTTCGCACATCCACACATCCACACACTGGTGATGGCAGCTACGTTGTAGCCACAGCCACCCTGGGGCGCACTGACAGAGGCGAGGCTGCCGGACACTGGCGCCACCGGGCCCTCTGACCACCACCAGCAGGCTACGGGTGAAGTGTCTCGCCCAAGGACACAACGACCGAGACTGTCGGAGCCGGGGCTCGAACCGGCAACCTTCCGATTACAAGACGAACTCCCAACTCTTGAGCCACGATCGCCTGAAGTCTTTCCTGATTGGTTCATGGTTTCAGGTGTGAGTGAACAAAAAGGAAGTTCATTTTAGAAATGATGGTCCTGTTAGAGTCAGAGAGGAGCAGGTAGTGGAGGAGGATTAGGGCGGGGCTACACAGTGATGGACAGGTAACCTCTGTATGAGGGGGGAGCTTCGAGCGCTCACCAACCTGTGACATCACTGTGGCCATCTTTACTTGGTTACTTGTGTGTGTCTGTGCTGTGCTCACTCACACACACACACACACACACACACACACACACACACAGAACAATAACAGTGAATGTGTTCATGACAGCTGACTTTGTGGTGCCTCCGTGAGCAAACCAGTTAAACATCCACATGTCCCAGTTTAGCCACAGATAATCCACTTAATCTGTCCGCACACCACGTGTGTGTGTGTGTGTGTGTGTGTGTGTGTGTGTGTGTGTGTGTGTGTGTGTGAGAGAGAGAGAGAGACCTGGTAGAGCTCGTTGGCACACTTCCTGCACAGGTTGTGCTCGCACGGCAGGATGACGACGGGTTTGTTGAAGATCTCCAGGCAGATGGGGCAGATCAGCTGTTTCTCCAGCGTGGTCAGCGCCACCTCGCGCTCGGCGCCTCTGCTGCCCTGCAGGCAGCTCAGGTCAGCTGACAGCGACATGGGCGCTCCGCCGAGCTTCACCTCCTGGTAGAAGCAGTACAAACACTCACTTCACATCAGCAAAGACACAAAGCTGTGACGTTTGTGAAGCAGCACCAGTGACTCACACAGACACACACACACAGACTGTAGTTAAAAGGTGGACGTAACCTCGGGGTCTAAGATGTGAAACTTAAATCTGCAGTTTTTCTAAGAGAGAAGCGGAACATTTCATTTCACAGGTACCAACATCTGCACATCTGCTCTTCTAATCAGCCTGCTGATGAAACAAAATTCAAGATGGCTGCATGACCCCGACTGTGAGGCGGCTGTTAATTGTGAACGACCCTGTTTGTGCAAAGTGACAAGTGTTTGGCAGCTGTGCTGATTCATGGGATGATCATTTAAAATCATCCATCGTTAACATCTGTCCAGCCTTGTTATTCACACTGTTTGGACTGGTTTTGGCAGCCTTTCAAAATAGAGGCGCGATGCCTTTGCTACACTGACAGGAGATTCATTCTTATAAGGTGACAGATGAGACTCTGAATCAGACTTAATGCAATTATTAATAATTCATTTAGTATCGCGGTTGGGACACCTGTGAACACACGAGCTCAGACTGCAGGTTTCCCCTTCGGCTCTGAAGTTCACACAGACCTGTGCACCTCTCAGTCAGCTGTGCGGACTTTAGGGAAAAGAAGCCAATCGAAATGCTGTGTTTGTCTGCAGCTCCATGCATACGGTCACAACACAAACACCCGACTCAGAGCCCATTCCTCAACACAGTTTGAGTTGTGGTTCAGTTTAACGAGGCTGACGAGTGCGGAGGTGATGATGGAGAGACCCCACAGCTGCGCCACGAGAAAGAGACAGGAAACAAACTCCTGCGTATCTGCCGCAGGTGGAAGAGTTCAGGCTGTCAAACTCAGGAACTCTCTAAGTCAGTGGCTCCCAAACCTCTTTTGCAAGGCCCCAGGAAAAATGCCCCCCCCCCGCACAAACACATCCTCCAACCACACACACCCATATTTTGCCGCATTGCAGTTTATTTCACCTCAAACATTTAGCAAACAATTAAGCAAATGCAAGTAAACTGCAATAAATTACAGGCAGTAATAAAACAAACTACTAACTCTTTTACGCTGCGTCCGCACCTACACGAGTATTTTTGAACACGCAGCTGTTTCGTCCACGTAAACGTTTCGAATCACCGTAAACGGAGATTTTTTGGCCACGTTATTGTTTACATGAGATGAATAGCAGAATGGCAGATAGCGACAAAATACTGTTAATCTGACTGTCTGCAGGTTTACACGCAGTTACTGTCCCTCCGCTTACAAAGGCAGAGGCGTCACGCTGTGATTATTTTACATGTTGTTTTTCCTGTGTAATAATGTTCAACATTGCATCAATACATTTTTCAAAAAATGCCTCTCTGTGCAAAATGGGTTCAAAAACATAAACAGCTGTGGGATCCTGTTTGTCTGTAATTCGAAGAGCCCAGCGCTGCTCCTGATGCAGGGAAAACCAATCCTGCAGGGAGACCTACCTCAGCACCTGTGCAGGTGAAGCCAAAGGGCAGATTTGCTTCACCATATTTTCTAGTCTTTGGCTCAGAATGAAGTTGGTTTGGAAACATTCAGCGATGCTTCATCTCCTGATTGCGTTTGTGTGGGCGCCTCATCAAAACCGTTATGCTAGCAGCGTCCAAGCGTTCTTTTACTTTTTTCTTTTCATACCCCCCCCCTGCAATGGCTCTGCGCCCCCCTAAGGGATGGGCCCCACACTTTGGAAACTCTGCTCTAAGTGATGCACACAGTTTCCTAAACAGAGGCAGCCACTAGCATGAAGTGGTCCTCTTGATACTTCAGATGGATTGTCAAAGACTCACTGGATGTTTTACCTCTGCCGTCGTCCGGTTGGTGCTGCGAGTACCCACCCAGAGACGGCCGGAGGTCAGACGGTTCGTGAGCTCTTCTCTTCAGAGACTCCAAATGTGTCCCGCGAGAAAGAGTCCAGACGTCTTCCTCACCAAAACTGTCCTGTTCTCTGAGTCTGCTTGTACTTCCTCACCATCTGCAGAAAAGTGTGGAGGGGGGCTGACCTGAGGGGGCGTCAGGTTTCAGCCTCTCTCACACACACACACACACACACACACACACACACACACACACTTTCCATATGAGGAGGCTGGTATGTGGACAGATTAAGCCCTGGCCGTGCTGGAACAGCCAGCTCAGCCTGATCCTTCAGCTCTGGTTTTCTGCTTCGACCTTTTAAAGTTTTAGATCTGAAGCAGTATTTCACAAACAGGTCACAGAGGAAAACAATACATCAGTACAGCTTTTATCTGCTAGTTTACAATATCTGTCTGATGTAAGTGTTTGAGAATGGCTGTCAGATTACAGCGTTTATCCTCAACAGTTAACCGTCTCCTATGTGGGCCTTTATTTTGAAGGGCTCTCTGTTTTTTGGGAGTGAGGTCATGTTGGCGGGGCAGTTCAGGTGTGCTACTGTGAAAATCATTTGTTTCAGAGCTCCGGCACCCGGCCGGTAAGCCTGTGAGACTGAAACAGCGAAACACTCGCAGCAGTTTGGGTTTTTAGCTTTTTTGTTGTTCAGTCTGACACAACAGCACCTCCTGCTGACCACTTTGGTACTGACACATCTTGATAATATTATTCTATGAAAGGGAACCCAGCACTGCACACTTCTAAACCAGACTACATTTTATTCCTCACACAGGATCAGTTATTATATAATAATTAAATCTCATCACTGTAATTCAGTAGTTAAGCTTAAATGCATCTTTATTGTCTCCACACTCTTCTTCTACAATACTTGAGATACAGCGTGTTAAACCTCACCACTAGATGTCAGCAGAGTTCTGTCTTCTACCCAACTGAAGTGCATAATCCTAGCTATGGTGGCCGCTGTAGGACAAATATATTTTACCGTATTAGAATAATATAAACATACCAACGAATGTGACGAATCGTCCGTATGTTACACGTTGGGAATGATAATGCTCTGGGGGAGGCTGTAAAACTTTGTGAAAGGAGTATGATATGAGTCAGTGAGTCAGAGAAGCTCACTAGCTGGCTTACATCTGTACACAAGTGTGTTGCTAGCATTTGGTGGCTAAACTCCAAGCTAGGGGCTGATATTAAATGGCCGGCTGGGCTAGAATCTAATACTGAGTGTAGATTGCTAAACTGGAGACTGGGAACTGCTACTGGAGTTCCAATCTGAAAACTATGGGAGGGTCTGTACGACAATGAACTTCGAACGGGGTGCTGATGCCCTGAGGACTGTGGGGATTCTCCTGCCTCTTGACTTACTTCTTAAAAAGTATGTGTCAATGCCAGGCCCCTTTCTCAGCTCGCTGAGGCACTTCTTCCTGCCTTGGTGGATGTTAAGGCCCATTTTACATAACAAGATGGCGCCAGTGTTCACGGCAAGCCGTCTCCTCCGTTTTTGTTTGTTGTTTATTGTCCTTCTGTCTATGTGCTGCCCTGATGTCTCCACGTTACTTGTCTATGATCGCCAAACTCTTTTGAATCTCCGGCCTTTGGACTACCAGACACAAGATTTTAAATGGAGATCTGACGATCCTCCTCCGCTTTCGAAGGACTTTCCTGATTACCTCCGCCACTTACCATCTACCTTCTCTCAAAGGAAATGTTCACGGAGAAGGGGTAAACGTGGCGGCATCCGTGTTCGTATCAAGGCCCTTTTAAAGTCCTATGTTGCAATAAATGATCGCTATTCTACAAACATTTTGTCATGTATTTCTGCCCTCCGAGACCATGCTAACTTCAGACTGTTCTGTCATCGCTGGATTCGCCCTGTCGGACCTTATGGTTACCTGAACCTCCCAGCTGATCTTCCACCCGGTCGGTGCTGGGTGCGGTCCTCCAGAGGAGGCGCGAATCTCGGCAACCTTCGCCTGCTGCGGCGTTCTCCTACCAGTAACAGTGTGACCACTCTCCGTATGGCCTTATTAAATACAAGGTCACTGACGAATAAGACTTTTATTTTAAATGACCTTATCCTATCGTCGGGACTGGATTTCTTATTCCTGACGGAAGCTTGGCTTCGCTACGGCGACCTTTTTCCCTTCTCGGAGCTGCTCCCACCTGACCACGCTTTTATTAGCTCACCCCGGACCACTGGAAGAGGTGGAGGGCTAGCTTCAGTTTTTAAAAACAAACTTCGATGTCGGCAGCTGCCACCTGTTCTGTACCGCAGTTTCGAGGTGCAGTTATTGGAAGTGAACTGCGTCCCCTCCATCCTCTGCGCTGTGGTGTATCGTCCCCCGAAACTTATTAAGGATTTTCTTCCAGAATTTGCTGATCTGCTGGGGAGCCTAGTGCCACGTTATGACCGTATATTAATTGTTGGTGACTTCAACATTCATGTTTGCTGTGAGGACAGTTCGCTAGCTAAGGATTTCCTCGCTCTTATTAGCACCCTCAATTTCACCCAGTGGGTAAGTGAACCAACTCACACTAAAGGTCATATACTTGATTTGGTACTATCTTATGGTCTGGATATTTGCATCACGGACATAGAGGACTCTGGGATTTCAGATCACTTCCCGGTTTTGTTTAATACTGTAGCGAGCGATGTGGATTTGAACAGTGATGGTCCTGTGCGGCAATCGCGCACGATTAACTCCCAGTCAATCGCCCACTTCATTGATGCTTTCCTTGACTCTCCCCTCTCTGCTGCTAACTGTAATGGGGTTTTATCAGCGGATGAGCTTGCTAACCTCTTTTATACTACATGCGCTGACATCCTTAATTCTGTGGCACCTCTGAGAATTAAACGTGCCAAATCCTCCCAACCCTGGCTAAATGATACTACTCGCGCCCTTAGGCGTGAATGTCGTCGTGCTGAAAGAAAATGGAGGAAAGACAAACTCCACGTCTCTCTGGACATCCTCCATAATTGTCTAAGTATCAAAAGTCTGTTAAAGCTGCCAAATCTGCCTTTTTGTCTAGCATTATTATGACTAATAGGCACAACCCCCGAGCACTTTTTAATACTTTTAATTCTGTGATAAACCCTCGCACTATCACTTATAGGGATGCCTCCCCTGCTCTTTGTGATAAATTCTTAAAGTATTTCTTTGATAAAATCTCAGCTCTAAGGGCTTCTCATTCATCTCACCCATCATCAGTTTTAGACCCAGTTCCAGCTTCTGAATGCTTGACTGTCTTTCAACAGTTTGAGCCAGTGTCTTATTCTGCTTTAAAACATATAATTGATCGTCTCAAAATCTCTGGTTCCCCGCATGATATTCTTCCTTCTCGTTTCTTTAAGGAAGCTTTACATGTCATTGGTCCTTGTATCTTATCTCTGCTGAATGCATCATTGTCATCAGGTTGTGTACCGTCTGTCTTTAAGCATGCTGTTGTGCAACCTATTATGAAAAAGAAAAATCTTGACCCTAATGCTCTCACTAACTACAGGCCGATCTCTAAACTCCCTTTTATTTCCAAAATATTGGAAAAGGTAGTTCTAAAACAACTTCAGGCCTTTTTAGATGCAAATGGTATTAATGAAAAGTTTCAGTCTGGTTTGAAACCTCGCCACAGCACAGAGACAGCCTTACTTAGAGTTTTTAATGATCTTCTTTTAACTGTAGATTCTGGATATTCTGTGGTCTTAGTTTTACTTGACTTGTCTGCTGCTTTTGACACGGTTAATCACAACATTCTTCTATCAAGATTGGAACATGTTGTTGGTCTCAAAGTTTTTATGTTGGTTTAAATCCTATCTCTCAGAGAGGTCGTTCTCTGTTGCTATGGGGCAACACTCCTCGGCTTCTGCCCCTATTTATTGTGGTGTGCCTCAAGGGTCCGTGCTCGGTCCTGCTCTTTTCTCTTTGTACATGTTGCCGTTGGGATTAATTTTTAGAAAACATAACATCTCCTTTCACTGTTATGCCGATGATATCCAGATTTATTTACCTTTGAAATCCGATGTGACTGCTTCTTTGCAACCTCTGTTCAACTGTTTGCATGAAGTAAAAATTTGGTTATCACATAATTTTCTTACATTGAACGAGAATAAGACCGAAATCATAGTCTTTGGTAGTCACACTCCGCTAGACCAGTTAGCTGACGCCCTAGGCCCTCTCGCTAGCCATCTTTCGTCCACTGTAAGAAACCTCGGAGTGTTCCTGGATGGCTCTTTTAAACTCGAGAAACACGTCTCCACTGTGGTAAAAAACAGCTTTTACCAGTTGCGTCAGATTTCCAAAGCAAAGCCGTTCCTTCCTTTAAAAGATCTTGAAAAGCTTATCCACGCATTTATTACATCCAGATTGGACGACTGTAACTCCCTCTACTCGGGCCTCCAACACTCCTCTCTTTGCCGGCTTCAGTTAATTCAAAATGCAGCTGCGCGTCTTTTAACAGGTACGAGAATTCATGAACACATAACTCCAATTTTAGCCAAATTACATTGGCTCCCTGTTAAATATCGTATAGATTTTAAAATTCTTTTGTTCACTTTTAATATTTTGAATAATTTAGCGCCCAGTTATCTTTCTGATTTACTCCATTCATACAATCCCAACAGAGCACTTAGATCATCCAACCATAGGCTCCTAGCACAACCTAGGACTCGAATGAAGTCGAGAGGCGACCGGGCCTTTGCATCCGTGGCACCCAGACTCTGGAATAACCTCCCCGTTCATATTCGCACTGCCGAGTCTATCCAGTCTTTTAAATTACGTCTTAAAACTTATTTTTTTACTTTGGCTTTTGATTCTGTCTAGTTGGCTGTTTTAGCTTGTTGCGTTGTTACCTATTGTTTGTTGTCCTCTTCTATTGTTTGTTTTAACTGTCTCATGTTTTTATTGACTGTGAAGCACTATGGTCAACACTGTTGTTTTTAATATGTGCTATATAAATAAATTTTGATTTGATTTGATGTCAGTTGTTAGTTTTGACCAGCCACAAATTGGTTAGAGCAGTGGAGAGTAGACTTCATCACAGTAGATGTCTTTCTGAAAGCGCTGTAACTAAGTTTAAGAATATAATCCACCCACTGTTATCATCTTCAATGCCCTGTACCAACACAGAGCAGAGCAGCTATCTGAACGCTAACAGAGGTCGATCATCTTGTTAATAATTTTACCTCCTCACTACGTACGACTCTGGTCGTAATTAATGCTTCGATCTTAAATATGATCAACCTATCTCTAATGATCGGCTATGTACCACAGGCCTTCAAGCTGGCTGTAGTTAAACCTTTACTCAAAAAGCATCTCTAGACCCAGCAGTCTTAGCTAATTATAGGCCAATCTCCAACCTTCCTTTCATATCAAACATCCTTGAAAGAGTAGTTGTCAAACAGCTAACAGATCATCTGCAGAGGAATGGCTTATTTGAAGAGTTTCAGTCAGGTTTCAGAGCTCAGCACAGCACAGAAACAGCTTTAGTGAAGGTTACAAATGATCTTCTTATGACCTCTGACAGTGGACTCATCTCTGTGCTTGTCCTGCTAGACCTCAGTGCAGCGTTCGATACTGTCGACCATAATACCCTATTAGAGCGATTAGAACATGCTGTAGGTATTACAGGTACTGCACTGCAGTGGTTTGTATCATATCTATCTAATAGACTCCAGTTTGTGCATGTAAATGGAGAGTCCTCTTCACACACTGAGGTTAATTATGGAGTTCCACAGGGTTCAGTGCTAGGACCAATTCTGTTTACATTATACATGCTTCCCTTAGGCAGCATCATTAGAAGACATAGCATACATTTTCACTGCTATGCTGATGACACCCAGCTCTATCTGTCCATGAAGCCAGATAACACACACCAATGAGTTAAACTGCAGGAATGTCCTAAAGACATAAAGACCTGGATGGCCGCTAACTTTCTGCTTCTTAGTTCAGATCAAACTGAGGTTATTGTACTCGCCCCTGAAAATCTTAGAAATATGGTATCTAAGCAGACTCTTACTCTGGATGGCATTACCTTGGCCTCCAGTAACACTGTGAGGAACCTTGGAGTCATTTTTGACCAGGACATGTCCTTCAACGCACATATTAAACAAATATGTAAGACTGCGTTCTTCCATTTGCGCAACATCTCTAAAATTAAAAATATCCTGTCTCAGAGTGACGCTGAAAAACTAGTTCATGCATTTATTACTTCCAGGCTGGACTACTGTAATTCATTATTATCAGGAAGTCCTAAAAACTCCCTGAAAGCCTTCAGCTAGTAAGGCTAAGGCTGCATCCTACCTCTTTCTTACAACTAGAGTGGTACTCTTTGAGAATAAAGTAACAACTTCTGATACAATGTGTGGATTACAGATTACAGTGGTAGATTAAACACAAAGAGGCTCCGAAGCATCAGAAACATTTATTTTACAACAGTACATCAGATAGTCGTTTCAGGCAAACGTCCACGCTACAAACACAAACCTCTACGTCTCTGTGTGTAAGTACAGCACGTCTGCCATTTGTCACCTCGCCATCAGAACGGTTCACATCTAAAGATGTCTACATCCTCCTCACAGCGGCTAGTTCATCAATCATTACAAAGATCAGAAAATCAAAATAAATTAAATAATGCATCATTATTATCACCATGTGGCTGCTATCTTCTTACATACATCGGTTTCATTATTCGATGATGGAAATGTGCCGACTCCAGGTTTGGTCAGCCAATCAAGTAACGAGGCGTCTGCAGGTTTCACCGAAGCTCATTCAGAAGCCTTTTTAACCCAGCGATGGGGTCAATGTGAAAACAGGAACACAGCAACTTAAACGTGTTTGGGAAAATAAAACCTCTGATTTTCACGGATCTGCAGTTTGGCTCAGACCAGTCAGGAGTCGACTCGGCCGCTAGCATCGATACATATGGACATCAACGAGTGTCTGATCGAGCATCGAGATGTGGTGAAGAAATTTAGCCCGTTTGGTTCAACGTCGTCTTTTTTCTTTGTTTTTTGTTTTTACAAAAATCAATCTACAGACACGAACTAACAGGAAACTTCTGTGACAAGTAAAAGCCTACAAAATAAAACTTGTGTGATTGGTACAAACTGATTGTTCTGCTAGAAAACTGCTTGTCTGAACAATAATAAGACTTTGGATGTGAAAGCGTCCCTTCATCAACACCATTAATAAAAAGAAGGAAAAGCAAACCTAGAGACAGAGGGAAGAACGGTGAGGTCTAAACTTACACCACATGTACAGCATCGCTACCTCCGCACACTAAACTACAACAAACACGGGGCTCGATCAGTGTGCACGCAGACACACAGCGCCTCAATCCTTCACCTGTGGAAGACCATAAACATGAAGGGAGGAGGAGGAGGAGGGACGAAGCTCGGAGGAGGAAACTGGAGCTTAATTACTGCTGAGAACTACAGTAGTCTGATTACTCTTAGACTAAAAAGTAACTGAGTGGAAGAGAGCCATCCCGCTGTGTGTGCTGTCCGTGACGATTCATCATTGGATTTACCAATTTGGTAACTGCGTGCTCGGCGCTCTCTGACGGAAACGTGACTCCTTGTTTGATGGCGTGCTCTCCCCTGATCTCTGTTTTCATGGGGACGCTGTGGTTGCTCAGTGTTTGTGCAACACGTTACTGTAATCACATTACAGTTACTAGTACGCTGTTACTCGCATTACAAAAGTTCTTCAGTGATCAGCACGGCAGGCAGAAAAAATTAAAAACTAAGCAAAGTTTTTATTCTCATGGCAATCAGCTGATGGAGGAAAATGGCG